AAGATTTATTTATTTATTATATATATAATATTCTGCCTGCATGTATCCCTGTGGACCAGAAGAGGGCACCAGATCTCATTACAGATGGTTGCTGGGAATTGAACTTAGGACTTAGTGCTCTTATCCCCTGAGCCATCTCTCCAGCCCTGATTGATTTTATTGAGCTATACATTTTTCTCCACTCCCCTCCCTTCAACCCTCTCCTGTGGTCCCCATGCTCCCAATTTACTCAAGAGATCTTGTCTTTTTCTACTTCCCTTGTAGATTAGATCCATGTATGTCTCTCTTGGGTCCTCATGGTTGTCTAGGTTCTCTGGGATTGTAATTTGTAGGCTGGTTTCCTTTGCTTTATGTTTAAAAACCACGTATGAGTGAGTACATATGATGATTGTCCTTCTGGGTCTGAGTTACCTCACTCAATATGATGTTTTCTAGCTCCATACATTTGGAAATTTTAAGATGTCATTATTTTTTTCTGCTGTGTAGTACTCCATTGTGTAAATGTACCACATTTTCCTTAGAAAAATATAAAATAATCTTTTTTTTTTTTTTTTGTGCTGGGTATAGAACCCAGGTTCTTCTACATGGTAGCTAATTATTGTATCATCCAGCTGCATCCACAACCTAAGTTAAGCTTTTGAAGGTCAGTTTAGCTACATAGTGAATTTTACAGTGATGCACATTCTGACATAGTAATTCACTCCAGGAACCTCTCTTATAGGAAGACATATATGCATATAGGAATGAGATGTATAAGACAGCTTTGTTGTTTTGTTGTTATTGTTGCTAGAAACATCTTCTTGGTCCATCAGGGCAGAATTTGTTTGATTTATTAGTTCTCTGAAATACCATAAATTGGTTGAAAAGATAAGGTATATTTAATAGGTAGTCACACACAAATATAACTTTGATAGGTGAGTATGCTGGTATGTGTCTGTTATCCGAGGATTCCTTTAATCTTAGTACTCAGAAAACTGAGGCAGAATGGTCTAGAATTCAAGCCTAGACTAAGCTACATAAGTCAGCCTGGGTTTCATATCAAGACCCTGTCTTATGGTCTTATGAGATGACTCAGCAGATAAAAATGTTTGCCACAGGCCTGTAGAGATGGCTCAGAGGTTTAGAGCACTGGCTGCTCTTCCAGAGGTTCTGAGTTTAATTCCCAGCAGCCTGCAGTGCAGGCATACATGCAGGCAGAACACTGTATACAAAAAAAAAAAAAAAACAACTTAAAAAAAGTGTGCTTGCTATGCAACCCTAGCAACCTGAATTTTATCCTTGGGACCATGTCAAAAAGCCATACAGATGCAGTAACGTGGATCTCTAGCCCAATACTCCTTTGTGAGATGGGAGGTGCAGGCAGGAGAATCAACCCATAAACTTGAGGTCAAGTGAAACCATGTATGCAGTGCCCATTGTGTGATGCTTGGTACCCAGCAAACACTCCTGCCAGCTGTCACCTTCATCACCATTGTCACGTCCTACTAGTATGCAGCAGTGTATGTTTGTGCACATGGATGCTCGTGTGTAGATGCCAGGGTCAGGGGTCTTCCTCAGTTGCTCCCTACGTTTTTATTTCTTTCTTTTGCATATTATCTTACCTGAGGTGGGTGTGGGTCTGGGTGTCTGTGTGTGGGAGCAAATAACCTGTGGGCTTCGGTTCTCTCCTACCATGTAGGTTCTGGGGATTAAACTCAGGTCATCAGGTTTGGTGGCCAAGGCCAATACTGACTGAGTCATTTCAGAAAGGGTTTCTTATTGACTCTGGAGCTTATGAGTTTGGTTTGCCTAGGCTAGCCAGCCAGTAAGCTCCAGAAACAGAAACCTGCCTGTCTTTGCACCATCCGTGCTAGGGATCTGAACTCAGTCCTCATGCTTACAAGGCAGGCACTTTGCTGACTGAGCCATCTCCCTAGCCCCAAATTTACTTTTTCTTGATGCTTTCTGGATTTTGTTGTTTATTGATTTATTAACACACTAAGCACACATCTTTTGCCAAGTATTTTACTAGATACTAGAAATCCAGACACATTCCAGACAGGCTCCCCCGACCTTATAGTCCAGGTACAAAGCCAAACTTGAAATCTATCTGTTCTCCATGACTATAAAAAGATTTACCTACATTTCTACTAGTGACTAACTCTTTCAAGTCTTGTTCCATCTGATTCTGTGCCTCTCTCTGTCGGTCCTCTGCCTGCAGGTGTCCTGGTAAAGGTGGTGGAGGTTTACTTCTGTGAGCGCTGTGAACAGAGCTTTGCAGAGCCTACTCTGCTGTCCCTGCACCAGTGCACTGAGACCCATATTCAGGCTGTGCAGGACCTCTCTAGCCCCCCGTGTTCTGTAGAGCTGCCCCCCAGCAACCTCACCCTCCATGGCCCTCTGCAGGACCCCAGCCTTCCAGATAGCCCCCTGCCATGTCCTGTATGTAGACAAGAGTTTGTCCAGCCCCAGGCCTTGAAGAGCCACTTCAAGATTCACCGGGTCACTCCCAACACATTCTCCTGCCCAGAGTCTGGCTGTGTGTTCTCTGCTGAAGATCGCAAGGGTCTGCAGCATCACCTGAGACAGACCCACAAAGCAGTTCCTGTACCCTGTTCATTCCGGGGCTGCTCCCTGGTTTTTGGGAGCCAGCAGGGAATGGAGCTGCATCGGCAAGCCCATTACCCTTTCCACTGCAGCCACTGCAGCTTCATGGGCTCCAACGTCAAACTCTTCCGGCAGCATCAGCGGAGCCATGGAGCCAGTACACGGGGAGAACTTTCTGCTGCTCAGGGCCTTCCATCCCAGGAGCTGCTGCCAGGTAGGGGTCCAGGAACCCACTAGTCTCATGCCTAGAATGTATCCATAGTTGGTCTCTTATAAGAGACCCCATTTGTTTCCAGTATGTCTGTTCCATGAGTAGACATTGTTTAAGAAGATGGAATTGCAGCTGGGCTGTGGGGCACAGGCCTTTTAGTCTCAGCACTTAGGAGGCAGGGGCAGGCATATCACTGTGAATTAGAGGCCAGTCTGGTCTACAGAGCAAGTTCCAAGATGGCCAGGGCCACACAGAGAAACCCTGTCTTGTATAAATAAATAAATAAATAAATAAATAAATAAATAGGAAGATGGAAATACTGAGTGATAAAGGAAAGGCTCTAGAAAACTTGAATCAATTAGAATACATGAAACAAAAGGAAGCCTTTGTCTATAACACTGAGTAAAATTTGATTTATGCAACATATAATCTGAAATTATTTTAACAATATCCTGTATTGACCCATTTCAGAGCATGCTAAGAGTGAAAGTGCCTGTTAGTGACTTGCTACTAGCAGAATGTTTCTAGATTACCTGTAGGATGAGTGAGATGGGAGCTAGACCAAATGGTATGTGCCTGTAATCCTAGCACTTGGTGGAAATTCAAGGTCATCTTTAGCTATATAGCAAGTTCCAGGCCAACCTCGACTATATGAAATCATGTGTCAAAAAAATATAAATAAATCGTGAGAGTGGGCAGAAAGGAATAGGATTGTGTAAAAAAGAAATCTTGCTGGGTGATGGTATCTCACACCTTTAATCCCAGTACTTAGGAGGCAGAGGCAAGCAAATCTCTGTGAGGTCAAAGCCAGCCTGGTCTACGTAGTGAGTTCCAGGATAGTCAGAGCTACACAGAGAAATTCTGTCTTGAAAAAACAAAAGAAAGAAATCTCAGGAAAGATGATACTTCATCAGTTTCTCCTTTTAGTCTCACAAATAACAAAACCAGCATGAGGTGAGTGCAGAAGCAGGGAACAGAGAACATAGTCCAGGAGAGGACAGGCTGAGAACTTGACTTGCTGAGCCTCTTTCTTGTTCTTATGTCTAAAGAGAAGGTTTCAGGGGCAAGGTATGAGCCTGAAGTACAAATTAGGCCCCTCAGTAAACAGTGAACAGTCAGGGTATTGTCTCTGCCTTGAACATCCAGCCTTTGGCTTTGGAGACCTGGACAAAGGAAGTACATTCTACTCTTGTCTACCTCTTAGGCCCTGTCCCAGTGACTTCAAACTTCTGAGCTTCAGTGGATCTGAGTCTGTATTATTGTAGGTTTTTAAGATAGGTTTTTACTCTTGGCCTTCAGATCTCTGCCTTGAATAAGAATACATATATTTACTTAGCATCCAAGATTCTGCTAAGAGGAGAAAAGGATAATTCTGCTTGCCAGTAAGTATAATACCAGCATTCAGTACTGTCATTGGCCCTTGTGAACTTCAAGTTTTGTGTGTCCCCAGTTCCCAAGCTGTCTCCAGGAGAGGGAGAGCCTTCTGAGGAAGCGGGCATACCTTTGCCTGGGCAGGAGTCAGCCGAGGAGGATATAGAGGAAGAGGAGAGTGGCACCCAAAAGGACTCCCAGAAAGTCTCAGATAAAAGCCAAGGAACTCAGCAGTTGGACGGTAATAACATCACTGAGGTTGAAGCTCTTCATGGTAGACAGGAGTGGATAGTGGAGAGCCTGACATTTAGGCCTTAGGATTAGGTTTTCCAAGCTTTGGTTCAGATCCATGTAGTCTTTCTGTTAGACTTAGACTCAAAAGTCAAGATCTAGGACTAGGGAAATAATAAGAGAGTATGCTCTTAACATTTGTGAGTCCTTGGGTTTAATCTCAAGGACTTAAAAGCAACAGCAAAGTCTAATATGCAGCGATAAATAGATCAAGTAATCTAGTAACACAGGGCAGTGGTTACAATACAGTTTGTTCTTGTAGGCAGGGTTTCTTCAGCCAGTGTCTTAGCTAGGCCTTCTGATGTCAGTGAAACATCATGACTATAATAAAGCAAGTTGGAGAGGAAAGGATTTACTGGGCTTACACTTCCGTGTTACTGTTTACCGTTGGACGAAGTTAGGACAGGAACTCAAAACAGGGCACCTGGAGGCAGGAGCTGATGCAGAGGTCTTTGAGGGGTGTTCTTTGCTGGTTTGTTCCCATGACTTGCTCAGCCTGCTTTCTTATAGAACCCAACCTGGGGTTGGCTCCATCCATAATGGGCTGGACCATCCATCAATCACTAATTAAGAAAACGCCTTACAGGCTTACCCACAGCCCAGTCTTATGGAGGCATTTTCCAGTTGAGGTTCTTTCCTCTCTGATGACTTTAGTTTGTGTCAAGTTGACATAAAACTGTCCAGTACAGTTATAGACCTCTTTAACAGGAGAAAGGGATTCTTTTATAGTATAGATATCACAGGTTATTGATGACCAATCCTTTTTGTCTAGCTTCCTAAAACTTTTTTTCTGAATATTTGTTTCCAGTTTCAAACTCAATAGAAACACTTGAAATTCATCCCACAGCGTGTATACTTATGTCTGGTGAATAATTTTTTTTTTTTAAATCTGAGTGTATTTCTTACCAGCTCTCAATTATTCTGAGCTTAGTGAGCCAGTACTTGGAAGGTTCGGGTACTTTACCTTTCTTTCTGCTCACTCATTTTGAGGATCTTTGTTTCACAACAGCCCTGCTGATCTTTCTGCTTGTCTCTATAGAGCAGGGACGGCAAGGGCATGTGGCTTCCAGTACTGAGTCCCTCTTCAAGACACACATGTGTCCAGAATGCAAACGCTGCTTTAAGAAGCGGACCCATTTGGTAGAGCACCTGCATCTCCATTTTCCAGACCCAAGCCTCCAGTGTCCTAACTGCCAGAAGTTCTTTACCAGCAAAAGCAAACTCAAAACCCATCTGCTGCGGGAGCTGGGTGAGAAGGCCCACCGATGTCCTCTTTGCCACTACAGTGCCGTCGAGAGGAATGCACTTAACCGCCATATGGCCAGCATGCACGAAGATATTTCCAACTTCTACTCAGACACCTACGCCTGTCCTGTCTGCCGTGAGGAATTCCGCCTCAGCCAAGCGCTCAAAGAGCACCTCAAGAGCCACACAGCAGCAGCTGCAGCAGAGCCGTTACCCCTCCACTGCTTTCAGGAGGGCTGCACTTATGTAGCCCCCGACCGGAAGGCCTTTGTAAAGCACCTAAAGGAGACCCATGGAGTACGAGCTGTAGAATGCCGCCATCACTCATGTCCCATGCTCTTTGCCACAGCTGAAGCCATGGAAGCCCACCACAAGAGCCATTATGCTTTCCACTGTCCCCACTGTGACTTTGCCTGCTCCAATAAGCATTTGTTCCGCAAACATAAGAAGCAAGGCCACCCAGGCAGTGAAGAGCTACGGTGCACCTTCTGCCCTTTTGCCACCTTCAACCCAGTAGCTTACCAGGACCACGTTGGCAAGATGCATGCTCATGAAAAGATCCACCAGTGCTCTGAGTGCAGCTTTGCCACTGCCCACAAGAGGGTGCTTATCCGACATATGCTGCTGCATACCGGTGAGATGGCTTCTATCCTTATGATGATAGAATAATGGTGGTGAAGGTGATGGCTGGCATGAGCTTTTGCTGCAAGCAGCACACAAAGGGCTTTGCATACATTGTTTCCCTTGACCTCAGGTTTATGGGCACAACTCTAATATTCCAAGTTTGCAAGGATATTAGGCAAAAGTTGAATATCATTAAACAAATAAAGTAGTCAGGTCAGTGAATCCATGCACTCTGATTTAAGAACCTGTTTTCTAATACCAGACTATCATTCCTTACCCTTAAGTATTTGTCCAGTTCTCCCCACCCCTAGTCAAGTGCAGATGGGTGAATATCCAGCCTTTTATCAAGTGAAAACTTCCAGACCAGGTCAGATAACTTCCTTTATAATTCAAATTTTGAGAGTGTTGGAGCAGGAGAAGGGAGGGTAATCAGCCTTCCATATGCATGTGGCTTTCCTTAGAACTGAACATGGTCACATCTAGTGACCTGAAGATTGACTTGTTTTATCTTGGACTTGTAATTGGTTGCTAGCATTACTGAAGCCTTAGATGACAGCTAAGTCAGGCTTCCTGCTGCAGTATCATCTCTGAGCTCTGCAAACATCTATGCATTGATGAACCATAAAGCCAGTTCCACAAAAAAACTCTGGTTAGAAAAATAATTTTTAGATAGTTTGGTCAAAGCTATTGTTATTCATTTCTGCACATTTTTGTCACAGAGTGTAGTTTCTAAGGCCTTTTCCTAAAATCTGTATCTGTGTAGTGTTAACATAGTTTAAAATGTTCTTTTGGGGGCTGGAGAGATAGATCAGTGGTTAAGAGCACTGTCTATTTTTCTAAAGATCCTGAGTTCAATTCCCAGCAACCACATGGTGGCTCACAACCATCTGTAATGAGATCTGGTGCTCTCTTCTGGCATGTAGGCAGAATACTATATGCACAATAAATAAATAAAGTAAATGTTCTTTTGCATGTATTAGCCTATTTTATCCTTACAATCTTATAAACAAGGCAGGTAAAGATAAGAGACAAAAATTTAATTTAGATAGAGAGCTGTTGTGTGCCCTTTGCCATACAGAGGTGGTTGGAGTGGGAGGGGGTCTTGAAGGAACATGGCCACCAGCCTCTTAGTGCCAGATATTGAGCAAGTACTAGGACAACTTATCCTTGTTCTTACTGTGCACCACTGACAGCTGTGTTATGTTTTGTTTAATACTTACACCAACCTTGTGAGGTCTGTATTTTGCTGTTCCCTTTCTGGAAACAAGGAAACAGGCTGCCCAAGGCCATGTGGTCCACCTTTTAATAAAGTGGCTTTGTGATTTCTCTATGCCTTGATTTTCTCATCTCTAAAACAGAGATAATAACAGCACCTTATAGTGTTGTTGTGAAGACTCATTGATAGGAGGCAGTTTATGCAAAGATCAGGCACATAGTGAGCATTGTATAAATGCTGGCTGTTCTGGCCTTACTGTATTGGAATCTAGAGTTTCGGTCTATTTCTTCTCTTGTTCTAATCTCTACTTAGGAAATGAGAAGGGATTGAGTTACAGGTGCCAACTACCTTTTTCTAAAAATCAGAGGTAAGCTTGGCTCACACCTTTAATCCCAGCACTGGGAGACAGAGGTAGGTGGATCTCTTGAGTCAATGCCAGTCTGGTCTACAGAACGAATTCCAGGACAGCCAGGGTTACACAGAGAAACCCTGTCTCAAAAAAAAAAAAATTCAAGGTAGACTTTTAATTTGCTTTGCTTTTCCCTCCTCTTCACTGGTATAGGAGTTGGAAGAACTGTCTGTGACAGCTGTAATGTAGCCTTCTTTCTTGTGAAGCTTGCTATGTATCTGGTGGCACATACAGCTTTTGCTCCTGTGTGGCATCATAGCAAACTTGCTGCAAGAGATGTTATGGCCACTCACTCAAATCTGTATCTGACCTGTGTTCTTTCCCCTCCACATAATATAAGGAGAGAAACCTCACAAATGTGAGCTGTGTGACTTCACCTGCCGAGACGTGAGCTACCTATCCAAGCACATGCTGACCCACTCTAACACCAAGGATTACATGTGTACTGAATGTGGCTATGTCACCAAGTGGAAGCACTACCTAAGTGTGCACATGCGGAAACATGCAGGGGATCTCAGGTACGAGCACATGTGTCCATCTCTGGCCCCATTGCTTTCTCTATTCTAATACCAATCTTAGCTCTGTCACCTACAGCTGAGCCCTGTGTCTGTGGCCCATTCTGTATGGTGAGAGCATTCTGGGCCAGGAGAAGGAAAAGAGATCAAAATGTCACTTGAGGGACTAAGGAAATAGCTCAGTCAGTAAAGTGCTTGCCTGCAATCATGAAGGTCTGATGAGTTCAATCCTTAGAGCCCACGTTTAAAGTATTACTTGAGTTCTCAGAATTTGGTCTCAGGAAAATGGATCTACACTTAATGGCACCAAGTAGTCACTTTAAGATCCAGGAATAGCTGGGCAAATTCGCCAACCTATAGGCACATCTGCCCAGGGGCTTGCTTTGGTCTGTAGCTTTTATGCCTCCACTGGGGAACAGAACAAAGTACAGAAACCTGTTCCATGGGGCTTTCAGTTACTTAGAAGTCAAGTGGGTATTGCCACCCTGGCACACCTGCCCCACTCGGGGTAGGGGCTCACAACATGACACACACATGCAGTGTAGAATAGAGAGCCCCAGCCCTGAAGCTAAGCTGTCTCTGCCCATCACTTCCTTTGGGAACACCTTCAGGCAGACTCTTCAGTGCCTTGGACTCATCACAGGATGGCTGAAGGCAGGTTAAATCAGATGGTTCACACACAGCACAGAGCACAAACAGGCCTACAGTATTTAATCAGTGACTGTTAACTGTTGGGATTTATTGTGATTGACTCCTCTTTGTCTTTATCCCCAGATACCAGTGCAACCAGTGCTCTTACCGCTGCCATCGGGCTGATCAGCTGAGCAGCCACAAACTGCGGCACCAAGGCAAGTCCCTCATGTGTGAGGTGTGTGCCTTTGCGTGCAAGCGGAAGTATGAGCTCCAGAAGCACATGGCTTCCCAGCACCACCCTGGCACACCTGCCCCACTCTACCCCTGCCGCTACTGCAGCTATCAGAGCCGCCACAAGCAGGCCCTGCTGAGCCATGAGAACTGCAAACACACCCATCTCCGTGAGTTTCATTGTGCCCTCTGTGATTACCGTACCTTCAGCAACACCACACTCTTCTTCCACAAGCGTAAGGTCCATGGCTACATGCCAGGGGACCAGGTATGGCAGTTGTGCAATGCCAGCCAAGAGTCAGAGGGGGCCAGACAGTGCCTGACACCTCCATCAGACTTAGGGCCTTCAAGCCAGCTGTCAGCCCAGCCTGAGAGACAAGACCATGAACATGGGATTGTGGCAGACTCCAGTGTGGATCAGGCCCTGCCAGAGACAACTGATGAGGTCAGCACCAAAAAACAGGATGGTATTGAGGCTCCCCAAGGGGATAACCTGGTTGGCAGCCCCAGCCCAGGGGAGGCAGAGGAGGGTAGCTGTACACTGCACTTGGAGGCCCTGAGGGTAGAGCTAGAACCTGTGGCAGAGCCACCACCCCTTGAGGAGCTCACTGAAACAGCACCTGTGGAGTTCAGGCCTCTAGATCCCTCAGGACCACTTGGAATGGAAAGACCAGATGGGCTGGAAGAGCCGGAACTGTCCAGCTTTGAATGTGTTGGGACTCCTGGCTTGATTGCTGAAGAAGAGCCCATTCTGGAGAAGCTGGTCTCTGAGCCCCCCAGAAACCCTCTAATCTCTGAGGAGACCCCTAGTACTTTCAAGGCAACTCTGTCTGCTGAGACTGCACCGCTGCCTCAGTTTCCTGAGTCAGAGTCACTACTTAAGGCCCTGAGGAGACAGGACAAAGAACAAGCAGAAGCCCTGGTGCTGGAGGGCCGGGTCCAGATGGTGGTGATCCAGGGAGAAGGAAGAGCCTTCCGCTGCCCACACTGCCCTTTTATCACTCGCCGGGAGAAAGCCCTGACTTTGCACTCCAAATCGGGTTGCCAAAGCCGCCGAGAACCCCTGCTATGCCCTGAGTGTGGAGCTAGCTTTAAGCAACAACGTGGCCTCAGCACCCATATGATGAAAAAATGCCCTGTTCTTCTTAGAAAGAGCAAGGCTTTGCCCAGCCCTGTCTCTCCCACACTGCATCCTCAGCTTCCAGGTAGCCAAGCCTCACAGGATGCTGAAAGCGGGAAACCCCCACCTTTACCATCAAAAGTAGAGCTTCTGCTTCCAAAAGATGTTCCTTCTGAGCTCCCTGGGGAGACAGAAGTAGAGGAACCTCATCCCACACCCTCTGACTTCCCCGCCTGTCTTACAGGAAAGTCCTTACCCACAGGGACCTCTGAGAAGTTCCACTTTGAGCAAGGCAAGTTCCACTGCAGTTCGTGCACATTCCTTTGTTCTCGGCTCTCCTCTATCACCTCTCATGTGTCTGAAGGCTGCCGAGGGGAGCGCAGCCGGGGAAGAAAGCGTGGGCGCCCCCAGACCCTAAACAATGGGGACTCAGCTCTCTTGAACAGTGTGGGTACAGAGTCCAGCCCTGGGGATAGGGACACTGCTGTGGTTCAGAAACAGAAGGGTGCCCTCTTCTCCTGCCCCACGTGTCCTTTTAGCTGTCAGCAGGAACGGACCCTGAGGACTCACCAGACCCAGGGCTGCCCCCTTGAGTCTGGAGATCTGCGCTGTGGTCTCTGCCCATTTGTTGCTCCTGCTGCTGCTGCTCTGAGGCTCCATCAGAAGCGGAGGCACGCCACTGCAGCCCCAGCCTCTGGCCCCCGGCCCCTTCTGCAGTGTGGGGACTGTGGCTTTACTTGCAAGCAAAGCCGGTGCCTCCAGCAGCACCGGCGACTCAAACATGAGGGTGTGAAGCCACATCAGTGCCCTTTCTGTGATTTTTCTACTACTAGACGGTACCGGTTAGAGGCCCACCAGTCTCGACACACGGGTGTTGGCCGCATCCCTTGCAGCTCCTGCCCACAGACATTTGGCACCAACTCAAAACTGCGTTTGCACCGACTGCGAGTACATGACAAAACACCCACCCACTTCTGTCCACTCTGTGACTATAGTGGATATCTTCGTCATGACATCACCCGCCATGTCAACAGCTGCCACCAAGGCACCCCATCCTTTTCCTGCTCTCAGTGTGAGGCCCAGTTTAGCTCAGAAACAGCACTGAAGCAGCACGCTCTGCGCCGCCACCCAGAACCTGCACACCCATCCCCCGGCTGCCCTGTAGAGGCCACTGAGGGCCCCTTGCACTGTTCCCACTGTGGCCTGCTCTGCCCCAGTCCTGCCAGCCTACGAGGACACACCCGCAAACAGCACCCAAGGCTGGAGTGTGGGGCCTGCCAGGAGGCCTTCCCTAGCCGGCCAGCGCTGGATGAGCATCGGAGGCAGCACCATTTCAGTCACCGCTGCCAGCTCTGCAACTTCGCTGCCCGGGAGCGAGTAGGCCTGGTGAAGCACTACCTGGACCAGCATGAGGAGACTTCAGCGGCCGCCTCAGGTGGGGATGGGGATGCTGGCCAGCCCTCTCTCTGTTGCCCTTTCTGTGACTTTTCATGTCGCCATCAATTGGTACTGGATCACCATGTAAAGGGACATGGAGGCACCCGGCTCTACAAGTGTACTGACTGTGCCTACAGCACCAAAAATCGGCAGAAGATCACTTGGCACAGCCGTATTCACACTGGGGAGAAGCCTTACCGCTGTCACCTCTGCTCCTATGCCTGTGCTGACCCTTCTCGCCTCAAGGTAAGGTCAATGTAGGCTCTGGGTTCTGTAACTTTTTTTTTTTTTTTGGTGTTTGTGTATATGTGTATGTATGTGTATCACATGTAGGCCTGGTGCCTGTAGAGCCAGAATAGTTGGATCCTCTAGAACTAGAATTAAGGACAGTTGTGAGCTGCTATGTGGGTGCTGGAAACTAAACCCTGGTTCTCTGGAAGAACAACCAGTGCTCTTAATTGCTAAGTCAATTATCAAGTGTCCTGGATTCTGTAACCTTAACAATTACACATACTCACTTGTGACTCTGGATAGGTCCCTTAACTTCTCAAAACTTAAGAGATTCCTCGTCTGTAAAAGGGATAACACAGGGGCTGAAGAAATGGCTCAGTGGTTAAGAACACTGACTTCTTCCAGAGTTTTTGAGTTCAGTTCCCAGCAGCCACATGGTGGCTCACAACCATCTGTAATGAGATCTGACACCCTCTTCTTACCTGCAGGCATGAACACTGTATACATAATAGGTAAAAAGAGGGGGGAAATAATACAACTCTATGCACTTTCATAAAGATAAATTCCATAACTGTTTGCAATGTGATAAGAGTATTTAATACTTTGAGAATAATCTGGGTATTAACAGTTAACATTTATTGACCACTTATTTTTATGCCTAGTACTCCAATTTTAATCATTTGAAAATACAACATGGGTCACTGGCTAGGGAACTCAGTAATAAGAATACTTAATATGCACATATTAAGTATTAATAGTCCCCCACATCACATACATACACACAAAGAGATAGATACTTGTACCCGTGTTACAGATTATTAAACAGAATTAGGGGTTAGCTTACCCCACAGCATAGCTAGTAAGAAACAACTGAGCCCTGGGGGAAGCTTCCTGTCATGGGGAGGAAACATTCGCATTTGCTCTTCCTTCTAGTACCACATGCGGATCCATAAGGAGGAACGGAAGTACCTGTGCCCTGAGTGTGGGTACAAGTGCAAGTGGGTCAACCAACTCAAATATCACATGACCAAGCACACAGGTAAGTGTGTGTGTCGATTCACTGTCTTGCTTCAATGGTTTCCCTCTTCTCTGACAAACTTAACCTCCATGAGATGTTGGATGTCCTCACTCAGAGCCTACATCAGTTTTCACCCTGGGAATAGGGACCACACAGGAAGAAGACATACTTCTGGCTCGCCAGTCCAATGAAATGTGTTAGACACCAAAGAAAGGGTAAACCTGAAGGCCTGGGCAAGTGTATTTGCAAAAGCTTTCCCGGTGATTATGATACAAGTTCACACGCACGGAGACTCTCCAACTCAGTTTGACTGCTGAGAGATACTTGGTTTCTGTGTGAATGTGGTAGAATGATTATAAGTGAGGAGAAAGGTGAGAGCTCCCTCCCCCACATACACACTTTTTTTTAAATGTGCATTGTCTACATGTCTGTCTGTGAGGATGCCAGATACCCTGGAACTGGAGTTACGGATGCTTGTGAGCTGCCATGTGGGTGCTGGGAATGAAACCCTGAACCTCTGGAAGAGCAGTCAGTTCTCTTGACTACTGGGCCATCTTTCCAGCCCTAAGTTCTGTATTTTTAATTTGTCTTTCCTCTCTAGTGCATGGAATTCACAAATCATGGGTTCTCTGTAGAAGATTAATGATGGGGTACCTTTGATTGTGGCATATGCTTCCCCCATATATGGAGTATCTTTATCTTTTTTGTTTTTTTGAACATTTTTTCTTTGTTTTTTTGTTTTTGTTTTGTTTTGTTTTTTGAGACAGGCGTTCTGTGTATGACCCTGGCTGTCCTCAAACTTACATAATCAGCCTGCCTCTGCCTCACAAGTGCTAGGATTAAAATCATGTGGCACCTCCACCGGTTAGTTTCTCTTATATTTTTGTAGTTTGATAAGAAAGTGTAATTAATGAGCCGGGCAGTGGTGGCGCACGCCTTTAATCCCAGCACTCGGCAGGCAGAGGCAGGCGGATCTCTGTGAGTTCAAGGGCAGCCTGGTCTAGTTCCAGGACTGGCACCAAAGCTATAGAGAAACCTTGTCTTGAAAAAAACAAAAAGAACTAAAAAAAATAAAAAGAAAAAGAGAAAAAGAAAAAAAAGTGTATCTAGGGGACTGGAGAGATGGGTCAAGCATTATTAAGAGCACTGGCTGGTATTCCAGAGGACCCGAGTTCAATACCCAGCACCCACATGGCCTCTCACAACTGTCTGTCACTCCAGCTCCAGGGCATCTGACACCTCACACTAATGCAAATAAAAGAAAGTTAAAAATTAAAAAAAAAAAAAAAAAAGTTTTAGGGCTGGAAAGATGGCTCAGTGGTTAAGAGCATTGCTTGCTCTTCCAAAGGTCCTGAGTTCAATTCCCAGCAACCACATGGTGGCTCACAACCATCTGTAATGAGGTCTGGTGCCCTCTTCTAGCCTGCAGGCATACATGCGGACAAAATATTGTACACATAATAAATAAATATTTCTTAAAAAAGATGTAAGAATTAGTTCATAAGAAGCCAACCAGCTTATAATTAATGTAGGTCTCTGTGTGTTTCTTTGGGACTAAACGGCTGTGGAACCCGATGGGACAGAACCTTTGTCAAGCTCTGTCAACAAAACTGCACGCTCCTGACTTTTAAAATGTGGTTTCTGAGGATGGAACTCTGGTTTTTATGTTTGCAATTTTGCTCACAGGAACCACCCACCCCCCACACACGCACACACACCTCATTAAGTATATTTTCATTACTTTCTTATTTTTAAAATTCTGTGTGTGCATGCGTGTGTGTATGTGTGTGTGCACGCACATGTGGACTTGCATGCAGAAGTACACATGCTTGTGTGCAGACACAGAGGCCCTGGAAAGCACGCAGTTCAGCTCTACCGCTCTGCACTTCACTGGAATGGAGGGGCATCTGTAGACTTCCAGCACACNCGCAAGCACAGTGAGGCCAAACCCTATGTTTGCAATGTTTGCCACCGTGCTTTCCGCTGGGCTGCTGGCCTGCGACATCATGCCCTTACCCATACCGACCGCCACCCATTCTTCTGCCGCCTCTGCAGCTACAAAGCCAAGCAAAAGTTCCAGGTGGTCAAGCACGTGCGCAGGCACCACCCTGACCAGGCCGACCCCAGCCAGGGTGTAGGCAAGGACCCCACTACTCCCACAGTGCACCTACATGATGTGAAGCTGGAAGATCCTAGCCCTCCTGCTCCTCCTGCTCCCCCGACTGGACCTGAAGGCTGTACCCCTACCCCACCTCTGGCTTAGGAAGAACATATAGTCCAAGATATGCAAACTGGGACTGTAGCTAACCTGAGTTTAGGGCCTGAGGGAGGGCTGGCTTTGGGATGTTAGTGTGGCTGGAACACTCCCCCCCGCTTGGGACTCTGGCCTTTAAAATTAACAGCTATAAAAAAGATAGGCTTGGACTAAAATGTTGATTTCTTGAGTAGCACTATGGTTTTAGCCTGTGCCTGGATCTCCAGTCTACCATTGTTGCACCAGAGCCCCTGGCTATAAGGGCTCTGTGTTATTCACTCCATCATCTCTTCCTTCTTACGGTTTCAAGTCTGATTTTCTTCCAGCATTTCTGAACATTTGTACCTAATTGCATGTGTTCCTGTGTCTGCTGCTCTGTAAGCATGTGAAACAGACGATTATCAGTTACAGACGTGTCTGGGTCCCTGTTCTGTCATTCCTAGCCTGTCATCAGGGTTTGCCCTGTCTTCTCCCAGGCCTCTCCTGTGCCCTTCCTATGCAGCACATGGAGGAGAGCCCTTGGAAACCTTGTTTCTCGCATGCTTTCCCGCCACACACACACAGTGACAGCACATACATCCACCTGATTACCCAAATGCTGCCCCACCCCCACCCATACATCCCATTCTTGCCTAACAATGACAGACCATACAGGAGCCAGATTGGGCAGAGCAGCTTTATTTAGACCAGCTAAGGAGCAGCAGTCCAGTGGGGTCCCAGGGCTGTGTATTGTTCTCATAGTTCTGGGGTCAGGCATCCTTCCCCAACCTTTGGGAGCCTTGATCCTTGATTGATCCTTTTGTTGGCTCTGGATTTTGAGAGACTTGTAGGTTGGAGGGGATAATGCTTCTGTAGATTTTTCTGCTTTGAGTCCCTCCTCGTGTTTCTAGTCAGAGATAATGGGAAAAATTACAGAAGATCTGAGGATGGGTCTTGCCTAGGGCAAGAATAAGGAGGGAATTCCAGTACAGAGTGCACAACAGTAAAGGGCAGGAAAGACTAGATGAAAGATCAGGTCCTAGGCGGCTGGGGAGATGGCTCAATGGTTAAGAGCACTGACTGCTCTTTCAGAGGACCTAGGTTCAAATCCCAGAACCCAAACGGCAGCTTACAACTGTCTGTAACTCAGGGGACCAGACACCTATCAGAAACACCAATGCTCATAAAAAAAGTCCTAGATTTGCTTAAGAGGGCAAAGTATACGGGGGATAGTAGCTCATGCCTTTAATCTCAGCATTCTGGAGGCAGAGGTAGATGGATCTCTTGAGTTTGAGGCCAGTCAGAGCTACATAGTGAGACCCTGTCTTAGGGGAAAGGGGGGGAGGGGACGAGGCAATTTCGTGCCTTGATGTCTGTCTACTCTTGCTGTGGAATACCCACCTCAGGATTCATCCTCCTCCAAGTCTTCCCGCATGCAGATATACACAAAGATGGAAGCTGGGTGGAGGCTAGTGCCATCCCTGGAGAGCAAGGATATGTGTCGGTAACCTGGAAATGGGCAGAAGGACTGTGTTAGAAAGGGAACCAGAGTTGGGATATTGGCCAGGAGTCCAAGGACTGCCTCACCTTGTTTCATGCAGGTCCAGGGCAGGGTGTATTGACCAATAAACTTATTCCGGGATGTCCAGCTATAATCCTTTACCACAAAACGCAGTATAGCAAGTTCAGGCACCTGGACCCGGAAACAGAATGTCTGCCCCCAGTATGGATTAAAACCTGAAGTGGAGATAGGAATTAGACCATACTTAGTTGCTTTCCCAGAATTTTCATTTAATCTAGATTGCTAGTCAGTATTTTGCAAGTGACGACTCAGGTGTAACATGCAGAAGCAGGGGCTAGACAAAATGGCTCAGTAGTTAATAGCACTTGCTCCATTTCCAGTGGACCTGAGTTCAGTTCCCAGAACCTACATCTGATGGATCACAGCTGCCTATAACCCAGTACAGGGAATCTGATGCCCTCTTGGCCTCTGTGGACACACACAGGTAGCACACGCACACACATAAATAAAAATCTTTTTAAAAGCATAAGGACTTTTCCCAATTCACAAGCCTATAAGGGAGAGCCAAGATTTCCCGGACTGTCTTCAACGAGAGTGCAGGCTCACACAGACTGCACCAAATGAAGGTCAGGCTGGAGAGGAATTGGCAGTCTGGTCCCACACTTCCCATGCCCAGTCTCACCGTTGTTCTCCACATAGCTGGTTTCTTGCTGCCTATTGTCTTCAGGGACACCAAAGAGCTCGACCTTCACCAGTGGATCCACCACGGACTTCTCTTTGGTGCTGTCCACTTTGGGGAGCTGTTGGCCGCTGATGACCTGCAACCAGGGCACTGGAACTTCATGAGACCCTGCTCAGCCCAGCCTTCCCTCTCCCAGCCTCACCCTTGGGAAAACAGGAACGGCACTATAGCTTCATAGTTTGCAAAACTAACCCTGCAGAGATGGCATATTCTAGTTTCCAACCTGAGATTTTAAGTGAGTCAAGAGGCTTGAAAGTAGCACATGGATGACAACAGCCTCTTCTATAGCATGAGTGTGTACCAGGGGTTGTAACACTTTGAACAGGTAGTCCTCACAACCCTGTGATGCAGGTGAGTTTACGTAGGTGACAAAGAACTTGCCTAAAGTTGCATGACTAAAAAGGGATTTGAAACTAGGCAGTTGACTCTGACATCTGCAACTGAATCAGGCTAGCCTCCCTCTTCTGAAAAAAATTTATTTTATATGGCTATTTATTCATTTATTTGAGTCTGTCTCACTGTGTAGCTCAGGCCTAGGATTAAAGGTGTGTGCTATCACTCCTAGCAAAGAATTTTTAACCAATTCCATGCCTGTCAACTTGAGCCAGCGCAACTCCCTGTCATAGGCACACACGCTCCTATTCCAGCTATTCCAGGTTCTTCCCAACAGTTTCTGTCATACCTGGACTAAGAGGATCTTGGCCTTATAAATACTAATGGGCCTCTCAGGATCGAAGGAACTCTGGATATCACACAGGAATTCTGGCTTCAGCACGTAGCCAGAGCCACCATTCTGGCGGAAGAACCCATCACAGATATCCATGGCACTCCCTGGAGTCTGCATATTCATTGCCACTGAGAATCCCAAGGAAAAAAAAAAGAAAAAGTCACCTTGGGGCCTGGGTGTGATGATACAGGTAAACTCAGGAGGCAGGGGCAAGAGGACTCCCATAACACCATCCTAATTTACACAGCAAGGTCTAGGCCAGCCAGGGCTACATACCCAGTTTCTCCCCTTCCCCACTCCCTCTTCTCTCCTTCCCTCCCCACCCCATACACATGCACACACCAAGGTGCATGTGTATTACATGTGTGCATATATATCTTCCTTGGCCTTCTAGCCCCTCTTTCAGGGAAATAAGAGGACAGTAGGTAAGGATGCCAGCTGGAGCTGGGTAACACACTTGGAAGACTGAGGAAGGAGGACAAGGTTTGAAACCAGCTTTGGCTATAGAGCAGAGTATGATTCTCAGTCAGTACCTGCTGGAAACACTCCAATAGATAGCACCATTTTTCTCAACCTTTCTTACCCCAGTGCTCCTTTAAAACATCCCCCAGCCCTGTTTCCACTAGAGAATCTATTTCCCATCAGCTGATCCTCCACTCCCTCCCAGTCCCTGCTACCTCCTCACCCATATGGCAGCCTGCATTCCAGAGTTCCTGGGGGTGAAAGTTTGATGAATCCGTCCTCAAAGCACTGGGGTACACACGGCATAACTGCCTGGCATTGTGCTGTACAAATTCGTTGCCTGTAAAAAGGTACAGGGAAGAGAATGGAAGTTCTGTCTGAGTTAGGTCTTCCCCTTCCCTGACCCCAAGGACCCTTTCAGCTTACTTTGCTCGTGTTGAAATCTGAGGCTGGCTCTAGGAAGCTGACCACCTCCCCCAAATTTTCCCCTCCAGAGACCTTTGTGTTCACTATTCATAAATCTTTTCCTTCATGAGTTAGGGATGTAACTTAGTCAAGTGCTTGCCTAGCAGGCATAAAGCCCTGGGTTTGTATCCCAGCACTGCACAAACTGGAAATGATGGCATACAGGGTAATCCTAGAATTTGAGCAGTAGAGACAAGAGGATCAGAAGTCCAAGGTGATCCACAATGAAAACAAATTTGAGGTCAGGCTAGGTTACGGGAGACTATCTCAAAAACAAAACCACTTGGCCAGGCAGTAGTGGCGCACGTCTTTAATCCCAGCACTCGGGAGGCAGAGGCAGGCGAATCTCTGGGAGTTCGAGACCAGCCTGGTCTACAGCGCTAGTCCCAGGACAGGCTCCAAAACCAAAGAAAAACCCTGTCTCGAAAAACAAAAACAAAAACAAAAACAAAAAAAAAAAAAACACCACTTTTCTCATTACCTGATCTGAAAAGTTCCTTTAGCTCTCTATTGCTTCCTTTTTCTGTTTCTTGGGACTTACCTACCTGCCTGCCAGACCTGAAGCTAGCTACCTATCCCACTTCTCCTGACCTGCCTCCTTGACAAGGTGCCTGGCCTTGCTCTCAGAGAAGGATGAAATATCACAGATATAATAATTTTCTTTGGAATGAGTGAAGCTGCAGAAGGGGACAGTCCTTAAGTAGACAACCAGGGCAGACAGGTCTGGGCACAAGATGGTCGCGGAATCCTGAAAAAGAAAGTGGGCAGGAAGATGGTATTGAGCCTGTAGTGATCTGGAGAGACGAAGCTGGTGGCCATCCAACCTAAGCCTCTGCCCAGCGCCTCCCACTGTATTCTCCCTCCTGCCTCACCTGGTTGGGCAAGAAAGAGGACCCAGGATTGTAACTAGGAGTCTGGGCCAAAGCGGTACCACAGATAAGCAGACAAGACACCGGACACGCCATAACCTGGGGATGAGGATGGGAATAAAGGCAGCCTGCATATACTGCTTGGATCAGTTTCAGCTCTGGGTTTGGAAGGTCGTCTCTGTGCTACTTGGGTAACCAGTCTTTATTATTTTTAAACAGAGAGGCATCAGTCACCCTACCTCTCTGAAAAATAAATGAACAATAACCTTTGGTCAAAATGTATGCATGATCCTTGCATGATGGTGCACGCCTTTAATCCCAGCACTCAAGAGACAGAGGCAGGTGGGTCTCTATGAGTTTGAGCCTAGCTTGGTCTAGATAATGAGTTTCAGGTCACCCAGGGATATACATCAAGACTGCCTCAAAAAGAAAAAAAGTACATGAATCCAGTAAGATTATATCAAAGTATGCAGGTGGTCCCACAATCCACACCTGTAAGGTGAGGACCCCAGAGCATTATCTTTGGATTTATCTCCTAATTCCCATTGTCATCCCTACACTTGACAACAGGTTTAAACACCACAGCTTCAGCACAGGGTAAGTCAGAAGTCAGCTGAGAAAGCCATGCAATTGCACAAGAGAAAGAAATGTGGACTTCACACCTGGGTCTCGGAGGTCCCACCAATGGGAACCTTTCTTCACTTGGCCTCCCTATATCTGGATACTTCCAGCTCCTCCTCAAACTGTATCCTTTCCAAAACATGTTCTCTAACTTATCCCATTATAGCTGAGACTGAGGTCCCAGCTATCAATGGTCCAGTAACTTCTTATTCAGCCAATAAAATAGCTACCTACACACAGAGAAAGAGACAGAGACAGAGCGGGAGAGACTGACCAGTGGCCTTCAGATTTGCCTTTAAGATTTTGTGAAGAACAGAGTTGTGTCCAGAGTCACTTAGGTCCTTCATCTCTCCCTGCCTTCCTTGTCTTCTTTCTTGAACTCACCTACCTACCCGTCAGGCTTGAACCACCTCATGACACCTGGACCCCAGAGAGAGCCAAGTGAGGGCTTCAACTAGAATGGTTCTACATTTATCTGCTTTGTCTAAGATTTCATGATCCAAGAAGTTGGAGAGCCATAGCAATAGCAGATGATGGCGATGTATAATGCATAGTGATGTGTAGATGTTATAATACACAATGATGCTGCAGATGTTATAATACACAATGATGCTGCAGATGTTATAATACACAATGATGCTGCAGATGTACTTTTAGGACTCTTTCATTGAGAGGAAAGACCATTGTTCTCTTTGGGTTTCCACCATGCCTGGCTCTAGACTCTTCAGAAACTGGCCCTTGGTTTGTGATGCATGCAGACTAAATGCCATTACAAAGAACTAGTCCTGATTCACCTTCTTAATGTGCTTGTTCCCAGAGGTCAACTCCTGGGACTCAGGCTGAAGCAGAGCATCCAACTCAGGGTAGGGGTCTGCATCCAGCTCTGACTCCTGATAGTCCTCCAGTTCTTCCTCTTCATCAATATCCTCAATATCCGCCTCAATTGTGCTTAACTTCCTTCCTTTCAGCAAGACCTTCCCTCGAAGCTGCTAGGGAACAAAAGTAAAGAGACCTGTCTACTTGTCTGCTCAAGCCCCTCCTGAAGATGGTGGAGGTCTTACAGCCAAAGGGAGTGAGCTGCCAGAAGTTTCCCAGAGGGTTTGATTCCTCCATACATATGGTAGAAAGACAATTATTCTCAAACAATCACTAGGTCCTCGCATTTCACACTTTGAAAACTCCTTTAGGTTAATACCTATACAAAGCATAGAGGAGTATGGAAAAAGAGAATGCTTTTTGAATAGTCTTATCACGGAAGAACATTTAGAAAGCATAGAATCAGGGGGTAGTCCCTCAAGCCTGCAGTTCCAGCACTCTGAAGGAGGCACCCAGGATTCTATGCTAAAACATGTCAAGCATGCTAGTGTATGCTGTAATCCCAGCACTCAAAAAACTCAGAGCAACAACAAGAAGCCCTTCTTTTCACCATTTTCCGTTATGAACCATCTCACTATGGAGTAGTTTGTGGTTTTTCTGTCCTGTTGGTCAGAGTATAACTGGGTATTTTTTTCTGGAGAAAAACTCAACAATAATTATCAAAATTGTCAAAATGCAATCTGTCCCCTCCGTGTGTGTGTGTGTGTGTGTGTGTGTGTGTGTGTGTGCGTGTATGTATGTTGAGAAAGGGTCTCATGTAGCACAGGCTGACTAGAGACTGGCTTTGAACTCCTGATACCCCTGCTTCCATCTTCTGAGTGCTGGAATTACCACCTCTGGCTAGAATGTAAACTCTTTGGCTGGCAGTTGGTAGTTGTGCACATCACAATACCACCACCAATGTACCTAGAATACAAATGCTTTAACCCAGAAATTCAAAAGAAGAGCCGGGCAGTGGTGGCGCACGCCTTTAATCCCAGCACTTGGGAGGCAGAGGCAGGCTGATCTCTGTGAGTTCGAGACCAGCCTGGTCTACAAGAGCTAGTTCTAGGATAGGCTCCAAAACCACAGAGAAACCCTGTCTCGAAAAAAACAAACAAACAAAAAAAAAGGATAGACAAAATGTATGGACATGATGAAAATTAACAATCTAAGTGTCTCCTAAATGTGTAACTAGATAAATTACAGTCCTACATGGCACCGGCATAGAACAGCACAATGCAGAACTATTAAAAAGAAAAGAAAAAAAGTTCTTATACCACCTGGGCAGTAGTGGCGTATAATTATTAAGTATATACAGCAACGTTCTGCCTGCACGTACACATGCCCACCACAAGAGGGCACCAGATCCACTACAGATGATTGTGAGCCACCATGTGGTTACTGGGAATTGAACTCAGGATCTCTGGAAGAGCAGCCAGTACTCAAATTCTGAGTCATCTCTCCAGCTCCAATGGTGCATACCTTTAATCCCAGCCCTCGGGAGGTTGAGGCTGGCAGGTCTCTATCAAGGCTAGCCTGGTCTACAGAGCTTGTTCCAGGACAAAGGAAGGCAGTGCACAATTTTAAGAGGCAAAGGAGGACAGATCTCTGTGAGTTTGAGGACAAAGATACACAGAGAAACCCTGCCTTGAAAAAAACATAAAAAATTAAATTAAAATTTAAAAAGGAAAAGGAAAAAGAGGAAAAGATAAGGGGCTGGGGTGTAATTTAGACACAAGGCTCCGGGTTCAAATAGTGTCTAAACCTGGTGAGCTGGTACACACCCACCATCATCCCAGCACTCAAATATGTCTAAACCTGGTGAGCTGGTACACACCCACCATCATCTCAGCACTCAAATATGTCTAAACCTGGGGAGCTGGTACACATCCACCATCATCCCAGCACTCAGGAGGTAGAGGCCGGAGGATCAAGGGTTCAAAAGCAGCCTCAGCTACATGAGACCCTGTCTTGAAAAAAAGAAAAGAAAAAAAAAAAAAAGCTGGGAAGTAGTCACTCATACTTTTAATCCCAGAACCTGGGAGGAAGAAGTAGGCAGATCTCTGAGTTTGAGGACATCCTGATCTGTAGAGTGAGTTCCAAGACAGCCAAGCTATACTAAGAAACCCTGTTTCAAAAAAAAAAAAAAAAAAAGAAGAAGAAGAAGAAAATGCTGGTGAAATGGCTCAGTGGTTAAGAGCACTGACTGCTCCTCCAGAGGACCGGGGTTCAATTCCCAGCACCCACATGGTAGCTCACAGCTGTCTGTAACTCCAATTCAAGAGAATCTGACATCATTATACCAATGCGCATGAAATAAAGCTTAAAAAAAGAAAGAAAGAAAATATGGGCAGTAATCTCATTCATAGTTTTTCTGATGTACATATATATGTTTATTAAGCTTAAAAAAAAAACTCTTGATGGTGCTGAAAATGTGATTTGGTTGGCAGAGTGCTTCCTTGTCATAGACAAAGCTTCTGGGTTTGAGCTCCAGCATATCACAAATGGGCTGTGTGGCACGTGCCTGTAATAGCAGTACTCGGGAGGTGGAGGCAGGAAAGGGCATCCTCAGCTACACAGAACAAGTCTGAGATCAGCCAGGGCTTCTTGAGAACCCATCTCAAGGAGGGTAAGGAGGGAGAGAAAGATAAGGAAGAGGAGAAAGTGGCTGTGTCTGGAAGAAGCTCAGTAGTACGACTTGTGTTTAGCAGGAGGGAAGTTTAGGGAATAGTAAGAATAATTCCACTGGGGCCAGCAAGACGGCTCAGCGAGTAGAGCACTTGCCGAGAGCCTGGCGCTGCAGGTTTGATCTCCGAGGCCTGTGTGGTAGGCGGGGAGAACTGACTCCTATTGGCCTCCACACTCGTGTTTGCCATAGCACATGCACCACCACCACCTCCTGCCTCAAAACAAACAAACAAATCATAAATGTAATACTTGAAAAAAATCTATTGATATATACTGCCATGAAAGTGTTTGGGGGCTGGAGAGATGGCTCAGTGGTTAAGAGCAATGGCTGCTCTTCCAGAGGACCTGGGTTCAATACCTACATGGGTTCAATTCCTACATCCACAGGGCAGCTCACTGCTGTCTGGAACTCCTGTTCCAGGGCACCTGATTTCCTCATACAGACATACTTGCAGGAAGCATGCCAATGTATATAAAAATAAATAACTTATTTAAAAAAAAAAAAGAATGTGTTTGGGATCATAATGGAGGAGAATTTCCATGTTCGATATTGCTTGTAAAGTCTGTACAAATTATAAATTATCAAAAACTATCAAATAACTAGGGATGGAGCTTAGTTAGTACAGTGATTGCCTAGCATGCACAGTGCCCTGGGCTTGATCCCCAGAACCACGGAAACTAAGCACAGTAGTGCATGCCTATAATCCCGGTACTTGGGAGGTTGAAGAAAGGAGGATCAGGAAAGTCAGCCTTGGCTACATGAATTCTTGTTTCAAAACAAAACTTATCTATAGGTATCTTAAAAAGCAAGATAGCCTTTGTGAAGATAGAAGGGGACAAGAGGAATGTAGGAGCCATAGTGAGGGACTGTGAAAGCCATAGTAGCGCCTGGCTGGCCACAGGGTCCCTACCTCTGGAGAGGGCAGCTTATCCATCAGCACTCCATCTATGGTGGTACTCAGCAGCTGCTCTCCCAGGATCTCAGTCAGATGTTGTGCCAAGGTATGCTGCTGATCCCAGGTACAGTGGTTCTCCAGAGACAGGATGAGGGGGTAGTCCGAGAACTGGCAGAGAGAAGGCATGGTGCCTTCAGAATTATAAGATCCTATAAGCCCCCACACTCCAAATCGTGTGTTTCTAGGCCCCCATTTATGAGTATACTGATTGCTAAACTCCTCCAACCCCATTACAGGGCTCTGTGAGAACTTGATAGATCTCAGGTCCACCGCTTGGGACATACCCACACCTAAGGGTCACTCATGAGACCTCAAATCTTGTAACCATACCAATCTGATCCAAGTCCTTCTGAGGCCTTTTGAGTTTTCAGTCTCAGTGTGAATGACAGGCTATTCCCCTGGTTAGGAGCCCACATTACCCTCTCATCCTTAGATCCCTGTTGTTCCCCACCCAACTCACCACTGTCTGTTCCCCTACCCATCCTCCCCATATAGATAACAGAAAAATTTTAAAGTAGTTACTAGGAACTAGTGATTACCTGTATAAATACTAATTACTAGTAACATATCCAACACTGAGTCATAGTAATCCTTTAATATTTGTCTCATGCTTTAGCATTTTTAAAAAATATTTATTTATTTATTTATTTATTTATTTATTTATTTATTTATCTATGTATACAGTATTCTGTCTGCTTGTATGCCTGCAAGAAGAGGGCACCAGACCTCATTCCAAATGGTTGTGAGGCACAACCTTTGGAAGAGCAGGCAATGCTCTTAACCACTGAGCCATCTCTCCAGCCGCGTTTTTTTTTTTTAAAACTTTTATTGGCTGGGTAGTGGTGGCACATGCCTTTAAGCTCAGCACTCTGGAGGCAGAGGCAGGCAGATCTCTATGAATTCGAGGCCAGCCTGGTCCACAGAGTGAGTTCAAGGACAGCCAAGTCTACACAGTAAAACTGTGTCTTGAAAAAATAAAATAATAAAAAACGAAACAAACAAAGAACCTTCTTTTGTCCCTATTCCACTGCTGCAGTGTCTCCCTGCCCCTGCACCCTCACCAGATCAAGTCAGTCACATTTCCCTCAGACCTTCTTGTGGGTTTGTTTTTTTTTGTTTTGTTTTGTTTTGTTGTGTTGTTCCCAGCCTGGGGCTACTACCTGGAAGGCATACTGTGCCAGTGTCGCCACGACATCTTTGAACAGGATGCGAGAGGTCAAGGTATGTCCATGGTAAACAATGGGCTCCCCTCCAGGTCCATCCCATACATCCACCTCCACACAGCGGCACCCCCGCTTCAAGGCCCTGCAAGAACCCCAAACCCCCAGAGGCAGGAAAAGGTCAAGGTGCGGTCTAGCTAGGAAGCCACCTCTCGCTGCTCTGGAAAGAGGGGCGCTTACTAGATTTGCCCATCCAGACCACTTTATGTAACATCTCCACGGAGACCTCAGGCCGCCATGGCTGCAGCTCCACCTAGCCCCAGTTCATAATCCTCCCTAGCAAGTCATTACACATTACCTCCCAATATTTCCACTGTTCTGGATGTGTCCCAACATAGCACCTGAATCATTCAAACACCTAGGAAATCCACCCCCCACTGATGTTTGAAATGGGGTCTTTTAGCAATCAGCCTGGAATTTACAACCTTCACTTCTGCTGGGATTGTAGGCATGCACCTCTCTCTCCAATAGGATTAAACACAGGGCCTCATAGATGCTTTGCTGAGCTACAAGTCCTTGTATCCTTCAAGCCACCGGGTCACTCAGTTGCCTTGACTTCAGTCTTGTCTTGATTAGTCACAACAACGGCAACAACCACTTATAAACTACTGGCTCACAGATTGAGGAACTCTGACAGAATGGGCAGTTAGTATCTCTATTTCGTAGAGAAACAGAGAAAGGCTTGTTAGCTCCCAGAACACCAAGCGAGCTAGAATTTGACCTAAAGTGAACTAATTCTGGAGCTTTTTTTTTTAAGTTTTATTTATTATGTATAGAGTGTTCTGTCTGCATGTATGCTTGCACTCCAGAAGAGGGCTCCCGATCTCATTACGGATGGCTGTGAGCCACCATGTGGTTGCTGGGAATTGAACTCAGGACCTCTGGAAGAGCAGTCAGTGCTCTCAACCTCTGAGCCATCTCTCCAGCCCCGAGGATGTTTTTTAACTCTACATCCCACTGCCTTTCCTTTAAAGCAGTGGTTCTCAACTTGTGGGCCTTGGCCCCTTTGGCAAACCTCTGTCTCCAAAAATATTTATACTATGATTCATAACAGTAGCAAAATTACAGTTATGAAGTAACAATGAAAATATTTTTTTTTTTTTTTGCTTTTTCAAGACAGGGTTTCTTTGTAGCTTTGGGGCATGTTCTGGAACTCGCTTTGTAGGCCAGACTAGCCTCAGACTCACAGAGATCCGCCTGCCTCTGCTTCCCAAGTGCTGGGATTAAAAGCGTACGCTGCTACCACCTGGCAATGAAAATAATTTTATGGTTGGAGTCATCACGGCATGAGGAGCTTTATTAAAGGATTGCAGCGTTAGGGATGTTGAGAACCCCTGCTTTAAAGAATTCTATTTACTAGCTCAAAAAAAAAAAAAAACACTAGGACCCCTGAATTCTCAGAATATCCTAGCTTGTGACAGAGAAGAATTCCGTTTATCTGCAGGATTTCATTACCTTTCTGCTAATAGCCAAGATGTTCTCCAAGTCTCTCAGGTACCCAGGGAGCTGAGGTCCCTAAGCTCTCTCTGTCTCAGTCCCTGTTATCCCCTTAGTTCCCCATAGATAGTCCACCTCATGATACTGCCACTGTACCGAATGTATCCTTCCACGCTGCTCTGGCCACAAAGCTGGTCCCTCAGTAGGTAGGTGTTGTGAGAGGAGTTGATGTAGTAGTGGTTCAGAGGCTGAGTCATATCCTGGTAGACAGGGAGGCAGTCTGGGTTGAAGATGTTCCCGTCCTCCGAGCAGAGATATCTGAGGAAGCCGTCCTTGCTCAGTATGTGCAGCAGTCTGCCTAGAGTGTGGAGTGCGGACCACACCAGGGAGACACCCATAAGCCTCTTCCCTGGTCCCCCTCCGTGGGGTCCTACCCCTCAGATGCTGATTCCCAGTCTGCAGATCCCAAATTTGCCACATGTTGTGCCTTAAACAGACATTTCCCAGCTATCTAGCCTTTTCTCTTTCTTTTCCTTCCTTCCTTCCTTCCTTCCTTCCTTCCTTCCTTCCTTCCTTCCTTCCTTCCTTCCTTTCCTTTCCTTTCCTTTTCTAAAAACAGGTTCTCACTATGTAGCCCTAGCTGGCTTAGAACTCTCTATGTAGACTAGGCTAGCTCCAAACACACATAGATCCAGGTGTGATGGCACACACTTTTCATTTTGGCACTCAGGAGGCAGAGGCAGGGGATCTCTGAGTTTTAGACCAGCCTGGTCTACATAATGAGTTTCAGGACAGTCAGAGTTACATAGTGAGATCCAGTCTTGGAAACGAAGAAAACTAAAAATGACCACATAGAGATCCTACTGCCTCTCTTACGTGCTTTGGCTTAAAGGGATGTGCCACAGTGCCTGGAACATGCTCTCCTGTCCTCATTTGCATGCATGTTCTCTCTCTCTCTTTACATTTATTACTTTCTTTGTGTATGTGTGTGATGATGTGTGTGTAAGAGTGCATGCTATGATGTGTGTGTAAGGGTGCATTGCTATGATGTGTGTGATATGTGTGTAAGGGTGCATTGCTATGGCACAGCTGTGAAAGTCAGAGGACAACCTGCAAGCATCGCTTCTCCCACCATGTGGGTCCCTGGGCTCTAACTCAGGTCATCAGGTTAAGCAGCAAGCATCTTGCCCACTGAGTCCCCACCTTAATTTTTCTGAGTGATTTTCTTTTCTAAATAAATTGTCTCTATTTATATAAATAGAAAATATTTTGTCAGGACCTGGTGGTGCACACCTATAATCACATCACTTATGAGGAAGAGGCCATGGGCTACTGACTTGGCCACATCATGAAGTCGTGTTTTAAAAAACTAAGAGACCGCCAGGTGGTGGTGGCTCACGCCTTTAATCCCAGCACTTGGAAGCCAGAGGCAGGCAGATCTTTGAGTTCAAGGCCAGCCTGGTCTACAAGAGCTAGGCTCCAAAGCTACAGAGAAACCCTGTCTCAAAAAACTAAAAAAATAAAAAATAAAAAACCTAACAGACCAAACATTCTAGTTCAGTGTTATCCAACAGATGGTCCACATGAGAAAGCTCTACTCTGCATTGTTGGACACAGCGGCCCTAGATACACAGTCCACAACCTTGAGAATGCTCTACTCTGTGTTGTTGGACACAGCAGCCCTAGAAACACGGTCCACAACCTTGAGAATGCTCTACTCTGTGTTGTTGGACACAGTGGCCCTAGATACATGTATCTATGAACATTTGAAATATGGCTTGTGTGCCTGAGGCAGTAATTTTATAATTTTAGTTGATTTTGACCCATTTAAATGTACATAGTCCTTGGAGTTCACAGTTATCATAAAAGATATCACAGAATCCCATTCTAAGGCCTAAGGATATACCTAGAAAAGTTATTAGCAACCTGGCTAAAGTATCTATGCTTTCTTCCTTGGGCTATGCAGCTATATGCCCAATGCTATGACCTGTAGTATTTAGGTGGACATGTCACCTTCTCCTTAGGCTATCTATACTCTTGCTGAGGAAATGGCCCTTTGATTCTTTCAATGTACCTCACTTTTCTTAGTATGGACTTCAAACAGTACCAACAGTGACCAGCAGTTACCAGGCACTTGCTCTACACAAGGACATTATGTATGGCAGCTAACTAACATAGTGAGGTCAGTATGCAATACAGCTACTACGGCGAGTTAGATAGCTTGCCCTACGTCACACGGCTATTTTAAGTGAAGGATCTGAAATCTGAACCAGATGCCTTGCACTGCTGGGCTGTGAAGCTCACTGGGTATATCTTAGCTTCAGAGAGGCTTGGTTGGCAGGAACCCCAATGTTCATGACCAGCTTCCTAGATCTAGGTTTGTCAAATTATAGAGTGAAGAATGGCAGGAGGCCGGGCGGTGGTGGTGCAGGCCTTTAATCCCAGCACTCGGATCTCTGTGAGTTCAAGGCCAGCCTGGTCGACAAGAGCTAGTTACAGGACAGGAACCAAAAAGCTACAGAGAAACCCTGTCTCGAAAATCAAAAAAAAAANCTCGAAAATCAAAAAAAAAAAAAAAAAAAAAAAAAAAAGAAAAAAAAAAGGCAGGAATTTGGGTAGGAAGTTTCAGCTGAAGGCTCCACTTCTCAACATGGTGCACTGGCGAGAATTCAGTTCTTAGCATGTGTGTGTTAGGGGCACACTCAAGCCATAACAGATGTAATCGGTGCCCTTGATCCTGCTCTGAAACAGAAGCACTATTTTTTTCTTCAGACGTCTTCAGTCTTATTTCCTGGCTAGCATGGTTTTACACACTTGCTTTTGTTTATTTTGTTTTTAGACAAGACAAGGTTTCACTGTGTGGTCCTGGCTGTCCTGGAACTTACTGGGTAGGACAGGCTGGCCTTGAACTCAGAGATCCACCAGCCTCTGCCTCCAAAGTGCTGAGATGGGCGTGCGCCATCACACCCAGCTTGAAATCCTATTTCAAACTTACGAAAAGATTTTGTTTAGAGTTTTTTTTTTGGGGGGGGGAGGGGACAAAATATTTTTGTTTAGATCAAAAGATTTTGCCTTAGAGTTCCTATTCTTCTCTGAGTATACCCATAAATCACTAATACTCTAACACATTGTTGGACTCTGAGTTCCAGGAGGGCAGTGTTCCTGTCTGGTCTAGGTGCTTGGCCTAGGCCTGGCACATTACACTCAATAAGAATTTCTCGCTTCCTGTCGCAGCCGCCATCGGAGAGGAGCAGCCATGGCCCTTCGCTACCCCATGGCCGTGGGCCTCAACAAGGGCCACAAGGTGACGAAGAACGTGACCCAGCCGAGGCACAGCCGGCGGCGCGGGCGCCTCACAAAGCACACCAAGTTCGTGCGGGACATGATCCGGAAGGTGTGCGGCTTCGCGCCCTACGAGCGGCGGGCCATGGAGCTGCTCAAGGTGTCCAAGGACAAGCGCTCGCTCAAGTTCATCAAGAAGCGGGTGGGCACGCACATACGCGCCAAGAGGAAGCGGGAGGAGCTGAGCAACGTGCTGGCCGCCATGAGGAAGGCGGCTGCCAAGAAGGACTGATTCCCTCCCCGTTCTCAATAAACGTTGTTGTGGCGCAGAAAAAAAAAAAAAAAATAATTTCTCACTGGGTGGTGGTGGCGCATGGCTTTAATCCCAGCACTCAGAGAGGCAGAGGCAGGTGGATCTCTGAGTTCAAGGCTAGCCTGGTCTACAGAGCAAGTCCCAGGACAGCCAGGGCTATACAGAGAAACCCTGTCTCTAAATAAATAAATAAATAAATAAATAAAAGAATTCTCTAAAGTGGTGAATGAATGAACGAGTGGGAGTAAAAGTTGAGGCCCATAGATCCTGGGTCACTTGGCCACCCCAATCACCCTACTCTATATTTTCATGAGAGACACTACTTGGAGGATGATCTGGTCTGGATTCCAGTTCCATTCTCATTAGCTGCTAGCTTTCAGAAAGTTGTTTAATCTCTTTTATTTGTATTTTATTGTGTTTGTGTATGAGTGTGGTATAAGTGTGTATGTGTACAAGTGTGTGTGTGTGGTGTCCAGAGAGGAGGTCCAGTGTCCCTTTACCTTTGAGATAGGGTTTCTCACTGAACCTGAAACTAGGCTGAGAGCTAGCAAACCCTGGTGACTGCATCTCTGCCCTCCGCCCGCTGCTCTGAGGTCACGGACACACCCTTCCCCATGCTGGCCTTTCACAGGGTGCTAGGGTCTGAACTCAGGTCCTCAGGCCTGCACAGCCCACACTCTCACCTGTGGAGCCACCTCTCCGGCTCCCCGTTTGATTATTTGAAGATTGGAAAATCTCTGTTTTACTATTTCTAAAACTGACTTAATAATAGAGCCTATTTTATCAGAAGGCTAGGACAAGCCCAGAGTGCAGAGATGCTGGCACATTGCGGGTTGCTCAGTGAAATCCCAATGGATTGGTCATTTTCCATTTTACAAAGCTGCGGTGAGGACTGAACTAAGTAGAGTGTGTCAATGTGCTTTGTGGATGCTTTACTTTTGACATCAACTTCTCACAGGCCCGTGAGAGTGGGGCTGGGAAGTGAGTTCTCTAAGGGCAAAGAAGGGGAAAGCTTAATGATAGAGAAGGCACGTTTTAGCTATACCTGCCAAAAGCCAGATACTTGGCCGCATCCCTGCCCCAGGCCTAGGCTGAACTGATTCCTGATTCAGGAGCTTAAGGACTTAAGCAAGATGACCTTAGAGAACTTCCTGGAATAATCAGGGAGCCCTGGGGCGTGGGGGCAAAAGAATCACTGCAGGAAAGGAGGTGAGGGCTAGAGAGCCGCTGCGTTTCCTTCCTCCACTGAGGGCAAAGTTAGTGTGGTGAGGAATTCTCCAAATGCAAGAGGATGTGGAATGGGAGCATGGGGAAGGAAAGGAGACTCAGACTTGCTTCCTCTTTGGAGATGAAAAACTGTTTCTGTCTTACCTGACAGGGAATCGCTGCTCTACTTCAGGAGAGTGGTCCAGTGAGATGATTAGAAAGGAGGTCAGGAGAAGGGTAGACTCAGCCTTCCCTATATTAGAAGACTGTGTCTCTGGGTCTTTCTTTTTTTAAGCCCCCCCCCCATTCTCTATATTCAGCATGTATGCACCCAGGTATCCTTACCATTCTCTGAAGGTTCGTAGCGGTCAATGAATTCCAGAGCAAGGTCGCGGGCGTGTTCTTTTTCTTTCTGATCCTCTCTAAGGAAATCCACAAATTCCAGCAGGGTCAGCTTCTGTCCATCTGATGAAAAGTGCTCGAATAGTTGCTCAACCTCAGTACGTTTAGTCAGTGCCTTATAGAAATGTACAAATTCTTCCCCTTCTAGAGTATCAGACTGGGACACATCTGCTGTCTGCAAGAGAATATTTAACAGGGAATGGATAAACACTGGGAAATGGTACGCTCCTTTGTCCTGTAGGGTTATGGCCAGCAAGCTTCAGGACTCAATCTCGCTCTCTCTCTCTCTCTCTCTCTCTCTCTCTTGGGGGTACTCCCTGACACACACACCATGCCTGACCTTTTACACAGATGCCAGGGTAGAACGTGAGTCCTATTCTCCTATTCTTACATGGCAAGCACTTTACTACCAGGCCTGTAAAAAGAGCATCTTAGCATGTGTTTATAAAAATCTCACAAACTCCTGACATTTCAGGGGGCTGGAGAGATGGCTCAGCGGTTAAGAGCATTGCCTGCTCTTCCAGAGGTCCTGAGTTCAATTCCCAGCAACCACATGGTGGCTCACAACCATCTGTAATGAGGTCTGGTGCCCTCTTCCGGCCTGCAGACATACACACAGACAGAATACTGTATACATAATAAATAAATAAATAAATAAATAAATAAATAAATAAATAAATAAATACTTTGCCGAGCAATGTGTTGGTGGCGCATGCCTTTAATCTCAGCACTCGGGAGGCAGAGGCAGGCGGATCTCTGTGAGTTTGAGACCAGCCTGGTCTACAGAGCTAGTTCCAGGACAAGCTCCAAAGCCAAGAGAAACCCTGTCTCGAAAAAAACAAACAAACAAAAAAAAACTCCTGACATTTCATACAAGTCACTCCAGGAAATAAAAGACAAAGTTTTAGCCCTATAATTTGCTGGAGGGAAAATTTTTAACCAGAAAGGTTCTATCTCTCAAAGGTCCTCGAATGGTTAGACAAGAATTGGGGAGCAATGATACGTGCCTTTAATCCCAATTTAGGATCAGGAGTTTGACTGTGAGTTTGAGGTCAGTTGGGCTATATTTGACCCTGACTCAAAACAAGCAAACAACAAACACTAGTCATAATCTGTCACCTCCTCTTTAGTCACGTCGCAGATGGAATTTTTTGTTTTGCTTTGTCTGTTTGTTTGTTTTTCAAGTCAGGGTTTCCCAGTCACTAAGGAGTCAGTTCCAGGAAGCTCTCCTAGACCAGGCTGGCCTTGAACTCACAGAAATCTGCCTGCCTCTGCTTCCCAAGTGCTGGGATTAAAGGGGTGCGCCACCACTTCCTGGTTTGCAGATGGAATTTTGTAGTGGGCGCCTGTGACACTCTGCTTATAAATAGGAAGTCCAATAATAATATATTGGGGTTTTTGTTTTGTTTTGTTGAGACAGGGTCTCTCTATGTAGCCCTGGCTGCCTCTGTAGACCAGGCTGGTTTTGAATTTAGAGCTCCACCTACCTCTGTCTCCCAAGTGTTGGGTTTAAAGGCGTGTACCACCACTGGGCTCCAATACATTAACATACTGGTTTTGTTGTTTTGTTTTGTGTTTTTTGGTTGTTTGTTTTTTGTTGTTGTGGTTTTTGGTTTTTTAAGACAGGGTTTCTCTGTGTAATAGTTCTGTCTGCCCTGGAACTTGCTCTGTAGATACGGCTGCCCGAGAGTTCTGGGATTAAAGGCATGTGCCACCAGTGCCCAACACGATTATGATTCATCCTCCCAACAAGACAGGGGGGCCAGCATCATTTCCCACACCAGTCCCACTGAGCTGATTATGGTGATAGAGACACAGCAAGGATTCAACAAATGAGTGCTGGCGGCTGAGCAGGGTCAGGGGCTTTCTGACCAATGAAAACATGATCTGGCTGTCTCCTGCAAATCCCCCCCAGCAAACGTACCTGAAAAAGACGGAGGGCATAGTCTTGATCCATTTCCACGTTCATCAGAAGCAGCAGCCGCTGGGCTTCTCCGAAACTCATCCTGCCGTCCTGGTTCTTGTCCCCTCGCTGGAACCACTCACTCACCCATCCAGCTCCGAGTCAAGGCAAAAGTCCTGCGTGGGCCGTGCTGTGTGTGTTCACCCACTGACACCTCTCCTGTCTTTGCTGCCAGTCTCCCTCCCAAGCCAATCCATTCTCTACGCTGCTGCTAGAATAACCCCTCCCCAGCATAAATCTATCTTGTCATTGTATGGCTCAGGCGCCTGCAGGGACTCACCTCCCCATGGTCTACAGAAAGAAACCTAAATTCTGACATAGAAGTGAAGATGTCCTGACCCTTGTGACCTGATCTGGTCCAGCCCAGCCTTCTCTGTGTGTCTGCCAGTCTCAGCAACACCATCCCCCGCCTGCTTCCTTCTGTCTGCTCTCTCCGAACCTTCATCTACGCTCTCCTCTCAGACAGGAGGGCCTTTCCCTTCCTCTCTCTTCAGGTTTGAATTATGCCACTTTTCTTTCTTTCTCTGACAGGGTCACTTATAGTCAAGGATGACTTTGACCTTCTGATTCTTCTGCTTCTACCTCCTGGGTATTGGAATTGCCTGCACCAGTCCCCATGCCAGGGTATTCGGGGTTGGGATTGATCCCAGCACTTCTTGCATGCTCGGCAAGCACTCTGCCAACAGAGCTGCATGTCCAGTCCAAAATTGTAAGGACTCAACTCACATGCTACTGCTCCCCTGGCACTTTCTCAGAACGCTCTTTTGTAGAGTCAAGTAGTTCTCTAATTTGGTACTTAAATTATTTACACGAATTGATTCTCTCCACTAAATAAAGTAATAAATGTGGTCTCATTAATCTTGATGTTCCTAAAACTAAGCATAATCGTTGCTAGTCTGGCTAATTGGTGCCGAGTGAATGTTTACATGAAGTAATGGACAATCTAGGAACTGCTTTTCCATTTATTGAAGGGTGGGTCCGTAAGCCGCTGTGTGTTGAGGTCAGGGGTGTCAGAGGACTGGAACTCAGTCCTCCCACTCCGTGGGCTCCAGGGATTGGATTCAAGCTGTCAGGGTTGGGGACAAGCACCTTCACCGGCTGAGTCACCTCACTGGCTTCAGTCTAGGAATCTTAGGGAGCCTGCACCATGGCACTCTCTAGGAGTTGCTTCCCGTGCCTGGGTAGTGAACGCCACTGGGGCGTGTCTGTTCAGCTCATAGGAGCAGCACCTCGCTTGTTCCTTTTCCACCTTTTGCTGGCCCTCCCTCCTAGTCTGGACTCGAACTCTTATTCTCAGGCTCTGACTGGCAGCCGCTCATTTCTCTTTCAGAATCATCAGCTCTACTCCACCTGGATCCTCTGGCTTTCCTGTCTCTGCCCCACCCCCCATCTTCCCCAGGTCTGTAGCATCTGGCCCCTTCAGGAACCCCTGCCGACACCCTAACATCATCTGGTTGATACTGGTCCAGTTGCTCCTGGTGGTCCATGCTGGCAACAAGATCCACCAACAGCTGGAGTCCTCGCATCCAAATCTGGGCCTCTTCAACACTGCTGGCTACTAGGTCCAGGTTGGGGCGGCGACCATGAAAGACAATGGTGAAGCCTTGCTCCAGGGGGAACTCTTCCATTAGATTGCGCAGCAACTCGGAATCATGGCCCTTACGTATTGTCTCCACGTCAGAGATTGAAACTGTCAGAAAAGAAACAGGTGGGAGCCCTGAGGAAAGGGGATGAGGGATGGTGACCAGGACTCCTTTCTCTATGAGACAGAGAGGAGAAACCTGAGCTTCTGAGGGCTGAATCCCAGGGACATGTGGACAGGGTGACGGGGACCCAGTGATTCAGGAGTTGGCATGAGTCAGCGTTTTTTTAATCAGCACAGCAAAGAGGTTCAGCTAGACCTGGCAAGATCTCTGACTCCCAGTCAATGAGAAGTGTGAAGAGCCAAACTTAACCTCTCAGTTTCCACATCTTAAACAGTGGATGGGCCCCATTCACCGCAGGTCACAGTGGTTCCCACAGGAGAACTAGTGAGGAGGACAGATATATCTGTAGAATAGCTACATCCAAGAGTATAGCGGATGCCTATGTTTCAGGTTTGAAGGTTTCTTCTTTCAAGGTGCATAGAAGGGAGCCGGAGAAATTCCTCCGTTCCTTACCTCAGCTCGGGGTGGTGTGGTTTGTGACTATTGATATGTCTCCAAGCAGACTGCTTATTCTGCGATCGAGTGTTTTCGGGTATAAGAGCTGGCCTACTGGGATGCTTTTATGCTCTGAAATACTGCAATGGCTAACATTTATGAACTTCACCCTGAAATAATGCAATGGCTAACATTTATGAACTTTGCCCAGGTTTCAGATCTCATGCTGGGTGTTTCATATGTTAGCTCATCGAGTCTCTATAATTTACAGGTAGGTGCAGGTTAACGCTCATTTTGTAGATGAGAAACCTGAGTTCAATTTGTCCAGAGTTACTCACCAAGAGAGTGGCAGAGCCAGGGTCTTAATCTAGACAGTGTGATCACAGTCATGACCATAATAAATAACCTATTATTTATAGAGACTTATCACATGCCAGGGCTCTTCTAAGCCTCCTATGTGTAATAACTAATTTAATCCTCACTACAGGCTGGTTTGTCGTCTTGTATAGAGCCACACAAGCGGGCCTGCACAAGAGACCACCATCACAGGATCCTGGTCCTCCCCCTGCCCTCAAACTTCTGGATTCCTCAGAGACCTTTCCACCCATATACCCACACACAGCTATTAAGGTCACTCACAAGTGAGCTTGGCTACGTCATCGGCTTGCCGTGCGTGCCAGACTGTCATGCCGTCATTCTGAAGTCTGAAGAATCTTAGCTTCTTCCAGAATCTGGTCCTCACCTTGCGCATCATCATGCCTTCTTGCATCAGCAGCAGGTCCTGATCAGTGGTCAGTCCTGAGCCAGGAAAAGCAGGGGCTCACTTAGCCAGCCAAGAGGCTGGAGGGCTCAGAGGAGCTCTGTAAGCAGCATCTAACTCCCTTCATTCCCCAGGCTTGCCCTCAAGACCTATCCTCCTGTAGGGGTACTCACGGTCTTGAATCTGAGATGCCATCACCCACTGCTCCACCAGCTGGTGCCAGAGTCACTTAAAGGAACAAGGAGGAGCCAAGGGCTTTGGGTGAGTCCTAGAGATTAAAAGAACAAAAAAAGGAGCTCAGGGTACTTTATCTAATCTGTAGCTATCTGTACTTCTGCATTCGCTAACTCTGAGGCTTAGCTAGGTGAAGAGAAGCCTGTCTCAATTCATGCACAGATTAGAATTTAAGATACACAGAGCTATCTTTGTTAGCTAGTTCCCATGGCTATCTCCAGGGGGGGGCTAAAGCAGGACGTGTTCCAAACCACTCTCTTGCTACCTTCACTCAGTAGGTAACGTTACTCCACACCTAGCTCATTCCCCTTGTTCTCATTATTAGGGTCTACCATCTTGTAACCAACAGTTATCAGAACCTTGAATCTGTCCACACGCTAGCTGTCTCTCCTTCAGGTAGGATTACCCCAGTTTTCCTTCCTGGAGCCCTGTCTGCATTCTCATCTATCTTGTGTCAATTTTCTAAAACTCTAGGGCAAAATCTTTTATTTGTTCTTTCTTTGAGCAGAGTCTCATGTAGCCAAAGACAGGTCTTGAACTCCTGATCATCTTGTTCCCACCCATGGAGTGCTGGGGTCACAGATGGGAATCACCATGCCCAGCATCACCTAAAAGACAGTCAGTCCTTCCTCTAAATGTCAGCTTCCACCTTGTGGGCCTTGGGCTTTGAAGAAGACAGAATTACCTTCTCTGTTCCTGTGTCCAGGAGCCTTACATGTCCTGGAACATGGGAAGCCTGAGAACAGAGCCCAGGAGCCAGAACAGTTTCCCAAACCAGCCTTGGAAAATCACTTTGCCTTTTCCCCCATCCAACCATTCCAGAGTGATGGTTTTAACTTGTAGCTATGGGATGTATGGTCAAGAGAATGCCAGCAGCACCTCAGCCACAGCACGTGAGACCTGAGCTTCATGGAGGAGACTGGAGGCCAGGAAGACTGGCTGTCCTGCCAGAGTCAGTAAAACTGCAGTAGAAAGCAGGTCTATCTAGACCAGTGCAGAGCTCACCAACTCCTCCCTTAGAAAGAGCCTCCTCCAGAAGGCAGGTTGAAGGAAGGCCAGGAATCAGTGGGGGACACTGGTGATCTCTCTCTCCTCTCCATCATCGTCTGGGTCCCCTACATCCCACCAAACAAGTTCCTTTTCTTCCCATTTTCTTGACTTTCCCATTTCATGCCTGACCTCTTTCTTTTCCTTTCTTCCTAGCTCACTCTTTTCTCTCTCACAATCCTCTCTGTGCACTCAAGTCATGCTTTTTGTGTTCTCTTCTTGTCCTTCTCCTCATCCTTTTCCCCATCACCTTTTCCTGCCATTCCCCTCCTTTATCTCCACTAATTCCCAATAGCTCCGATTCTCAACTCCTTTACAGATTTTGAATCTATAGTCCAGGAGAGAGAACACATTGGTTTGGACACTCAGTAACATGCCCCTCCTCTCAGTCTCACTTTTCCCTGTATCCTAGGAGACTGACTAAACAAAGTGCCCTAAGAATGTGTTAGAACCTAAATGTTCTAGGGCTTGGTGTTTCTGCTGGTGTCTGCTGGGAGGATGGTTACAATGGATGCAGGTGCAGTGGGGTAAGAAGAAACAAGGGGTTTGGGAGAGGGGGCACCAGTAAGGACACAGAGGATAAAATCTCAAAGTAAGAGAGATTGGGCCAGCTAGACACGATGGGAATCTTAACACTTGGGAAGTTAGAAGTGGAAGAATCAGTTGTTCAAGGTTATCCTTGGCTACTTAGGAAGTTTGAGGGCAGCCTGCCGAGAGAGAGAGAGAGAGAGAGAGAGAGAGAGAGAGAGAGAGAGAGAGAGAGAAGAGGGAGAGTAACACATATACATCTGGAATCTTTGAAGATTCAGATAATAACCTCTGTAATAAAGACACAAACTTTCCTAGTACTATTGGCCCAGTATTACAGAGCAAGCAAGATTTGATCCTCTGCCTCCAGGCAGTGTTGTATCACCTACAGATGGAGTTCGGAAGTGAAAACATATATGCCAATAACATTACAGTAAGATTCAGGGTATCTCAAATGTCTTTCTGAGGGGCAGGAAGGAAGAGAACTATTTTATCTAGTTCCTAGGGGTTATGGCTAACCTGGTTCAGATAAAGCAGGTGGGATGGCGCTGGTCACAGGTCACAGCCCTTAGAATGTTAGAATTTACAGGCTTTCACAGCACATAGACGTGAGCCGAGATCACTATCTCCTGAAGAGTCTCTTAGAATTTGCCAGATCATTAAAAAAAAAAAAAAAAAGAATTTTCCAGATCAAAATTTCCAAGGATGAGGTGTGAGGATATTTAGTGGGCATCTTAACAAGCACTCCTGGTACAAAGGCAAGTCTGGGAAGCCCTACGTTCCCCCATTACAGATCCTGAAGCTGTCTGCAGTCTCAAGTCCCATGGCACACAGCAGGCTGGCGTACCGAGAACTTGCCTGGCTTATTAAGCAGGCAAGGAACAAAGCACAGAACTCCAATCCTGACTCTTTCCAAGGATGTCTTAAAATTATCTTCCTACTGCCAGGAGTTCTGATCCCTCGTGGGTTTTAGACAGTCCTCATTTGTTAACCCTCAACAGTCTATTAATATATCTTTATTGATGAGTAGCTACTCTTATTCTGCCTCTTCTCCTATTGCGGTGGTTTTACCTCTGAGAAGTGGCTAGCGTTAGCACTCATGGCCCTGGACAGATAAGAGTTTTCTCTATAAAAGGGTGATTGAAGCCGGGCAGTGGTGGTGCATGCCTTTAATCCTAGCACTCTGGAGGCAGAGGCAGGAGGATAGCTGTGAGTTCAAGATCAGCCAAGGTCTACAGGATCCAAAACTACAGAGAAACCCTGTCTCGAAAAACAAACACAAAAGCAAATAATAATAAATGTGACTGATACAGCCAGAAACAAAACTGTTTAAGCCTGGCGGTGGTAGCAGCACGCGCCTTTAATCCCAGCACTCGGGAGATAGAGGCAGGCGGACCTCTGAGTTCGAGGCCAGCCTGGTCTACAGAATGAGTTCTAGGACAGCCAGTTCTAGCCAGGGCTACCCAGAGAAACCCTGTCTCGAGAAACCAGAGCAAACAAACAAAACTGAGTCAGAGGATAAATAGAAGAGAACGAGGAGGAGGGAGAGAGCCTGGTGGAGCCGCAGGGTAAAAGAAGGAGCCTAGTTTAACCTAATCAAGATAGGTGTGCACCTGTAGCGCTGCGTTAGGACTCAGGCAGGCGTGGAGAGAGGTTGGTTGGTTAGAGCTCCAGGGCTCTTACCGCGGGTAAGATAGCAGCGATCCTGTCTGCCAGCAACGCCTCCGGAGCTCTGCAGTGCTCTCCGCGGAGAACGGGAAGGCTCAGCCCGGCTCCTCTTCTCCTTTGCACTTGACTGCAGTCTTCAACTGCAGTTTGCTGCCCTGACTGGCAGAGTTACAGCCAAGGAGGAGTAGGCTGGGGAGAGGTGGGAGCGCTTTCCTCAGTCCAGCCGTTCTAACTCTTAAAGGCCCAGGACACTGGTCAAGTGAGGAGTTGTGGGGGTGGGGAGGCAGAAAAGGATTAAGGGAATGGATTGAGGTTGACAGACAATGCGTCTCCAGGGAGAAGGAGCCTGGCTGTCTTTTATCTTGTTGCCTCCCTACCGGTACCCCTTACAGACTGACCCAAATCCCGCAATTGCTCTCTAAGTGAAACCCAAGGCTGTCTATTGCAGCTTTGAGAATCACGGCTTTTCATTCTGGCCAGCGTCTGTGTGGAACACCACTGTCTTTGCCCTCATTTCCTCTGGCTGCTTTCCACAGCGCCTCTTTCTGCCAGCTTGCTCCTCTGTTTCTGCATCCTGTCTTGCAGGGCAATCAGTCTAAGTGTGTAAAGATACAGGAACAGGGCAAGGCAGGGAGAAGGGAAGAGATCAGTTTGAAGGACAGTTTCTACGCACTTGTTACACGGATCAGATCATTTATAAGATGGATTATTTTTTTTTTTGTTGGGAAAGGCTTTTTTTTTTTTTTTTGCTTAGACTAACCTTGAACTTGATCTGTACTTGAACTTGAAGTGTAGCTGGGGATGATCTTGGACTCTAGATCCTCCTGCTCCCACTTCTTGAGTGCCGAGATTCACTCGTGGACCACTATGTCCAGTTTAAGGGGTAACGAAGATGAAACTCAGGTCTTCTCAGATACTGTGTAATCACTGTGCTGACTGAACGACATCCTCAGGCCCCTCTTTCCTTTTGTAATCATTTATTCAATGCCAGGGTATTTATTTATTTTTGAGATGGGAGTCTTGCTATTTAGCCAAGCTGACCTTGAACTCACAACCCCCTGCCTTACTGTTAGGATTACGGGCAAGAGCCACCATACCTGGCCATACATAACAAAGGTATAAAAATGAAGCAAGGTATTAAGGAAGCCCACCCCCATGTGCCTTTTTTTCTTTTTCGAGATAGGGTTGCTCTGTGTAACAGCCCTGGCTGCCCTGGAAGTCTTCATTTTATAATAATTCACTCAGCCCCTTATTTTCTTTGTAGACCAGGCTGGCCTCGAACTCACAGAGATCCTCCTGACTCTGCCTGGGATTAAAGGCATGCACCACCACCGCCTGGCCCAGGTATCTTTCTTACTGAGCACCTTTCTATTTTGTACTTAAAAATCACTGTTGAAAACCTTTCTTAATTATGAAGTCCAACTTTGCTAAAAACAAGACAAAGAACAGTAAAGTGGAGCTGGGAGGACACTCATACAGGAGCGAGCTCCTTCCGAAGACATATAATAGCTAGCTGGCACATAACTCAAGATGGGGGTAAGGGAACCAGATTAGGTGGGGATGTTATATTTCATGGATGAAAACTAAGGTCCTGGAAGTTTCTAGATGTCGTGTTGGCGCACTGAAGACAGCTGGCCCTTGCACATCCCCAAGCACCGCAGCTAGGCTCTGCTTTCATCTTGCCTTGGGAAGACTGTGGCATGTGGTTTTCTGGACCAGCTGATGGCAGGTAAGGCAGCTATGTGCACAGGACACATATTTGGAACTCCTATGAGGTTCCTTTTCAGTGGTGTATTTTAGTCACGGGCACAGAGGGAGCTGGCTTCGTGAAATGGCATGATTTTTAGTGGACTGAGTTCTGACTGCCTCTCCTAGTTCCCTCAAATACCTCTCAACTGCCTAAGAGCCTGCCATTAGTGGTTATTTATAGCTAAATTTTAAGTTCCATTAAAATAAAACCCTTCTAAGTGATGACCACAAAAGCCAGAATGTCGATTACTTTAGGAAAGAGTTGTGGCAGAATAGGTGCCTAGCTATTTTTAGTCCTGAGTACAAACAGGAGTCTTCATTTTATAATAATTCACTCAGCCCCTTATTTTCTTTTTGTAGTTCTATATTGCTTCTATTATATTTTACCATGAAAGAGATTTAAACTTCGGCGATTAATTTCTTGTTTTGTGAAATGGGAATCTCTTTATGTTGCTCGGGCTGGTCTTGAACTTGTGGTCTCAGGTGGGCCCCCCAACCTCATCTGAGCCTTCAAAAAAGCTAGGACGAGGCAAGTATGAACATCGGTGCCTCCTTGCAATCTCTGAAACCTTAGTAGTTCTACTTGATTTATCCAGGTAATGGATTGACTGTTTGTTTGTTTATTTATTTATTTATTTTACTGACAGCAGGCAGGTTTGTTTGTGGCCATTTGTTTTGTTTTGTTTTTGAGACAGGGTTTCTCTGTGTAGCCCTGGCTATCCTGGAACTTACTTTGTAGACCAAGCTAGCCTTGAACTCACAGCCACCTGCCTCTGCCTCCCAAAGTGCTAGGATTAAAGGCGTGCACCCCCCCCCATCTTTTTATAGATGGACTGATCGTAGTGTAGTCAAGGCTGTCCTCGAACTTAATATGTAGCTAGGGGTGACTTTGAACTCCAGAACCTCCTGCTTCCACCCCCAAGTGCTCCGACTGTAGGCACATACCGCTCTCCTTGTTTGAGAATAGGTTTTGGTAGCCTAAAGCATAGTCCAAAGGGAAGGTAGACATTAAAAGGGAAGTTGTTCTTGGGGAGTAGGAAAAGTAAGGACATCAAAATTAAACCACCAGGGCTGGAGAGGTGGCTCAGAGGTTAAGAGCATTGGTTGCTCTTCCAGAGGTCCTGAGTTCAATTCCCAGCAACCACATGGTGGCTCACAACCATCTGTACTGAGATCTGGCGCCCTCCTCTGGCGTGCGGGCATACATCGAGGCAGAATGTTGTATACATAATAAATAAATAAATCTTTAAAAAAAAAAATTAAACCACCAATTTTAGATTTGACATTTGACTTAGCAGAGGTTCCATGGCAGTGTGACACACTTGTCCTGCTCTCCCAGGCCCGCTTGCCTGCCATTATAATCTCCTTTCACAATCCCCCTCTTCCACATAATTCCTCCTGTTACCCCAGGTCCATATACCTTTTGCCTCTTTCTCATCAGCTCAATGTGACCCCAGCTCCTGGGTGATGTAGGAAAAAGGGTGTTACTACGATGAGATTTCCTGGGAGACAGCAGGTTCCAAATATTCTCCTCCTGTGTTCTCATCAACACAGTCCGGCTTCTTAGCCTTCTCAGCCTCTGGGTTCTGATTTGGGGGTTGAGTATGTAAGCGATTTCGCAAGATCAGTTTAGCTCCTGAAAATGCTGGGAAGGAGCTTGGTGAGAGATGGCTCAGTGGAGAAAGGCACTTTCTGCCAAGCCCGACTAGTTTTTTCTTTTCTTCTTTTGTTGTTTTTCAAGACAGGGTCTCTCTGTGTAAAAGCTCTGGCTGTTCTGGAACTCTCTTTGTAGACCAGGCTGGTCTCGAACTCAAAGAGATATGCCTACTTCTGCCTTCCAAGCCCTGGGTTTAAAGGCGTGCGCCACCACCACCTACTTTAACCACTTGTATTTGCTATCCAAGACCCATATGGTGGTAGGTAAGAACTAACTTCTAAAGTTGATTTCAGACCTACACACACACACACACACACACTAAATGGATAAATGCAAAATAAATAGAAAGAGTTCTTGGATGGTAGCTCTTGGAGAGAGCATGGGACTTTGTATAGATCCAGAAGGCAGCAGACGGGGCTTTGGCACAGGAACTGTCCAGCTGCTTTGGTAATTCCCACGTCTGCAAAGATCCTGGCCCCTTCCCCCACACTTGTCTATTATTAACAGATCCAGAAACCTGATCGGGGCAGCTGTAGAGGGACTTTCTGGGAACCATGCCCAGGAAAGGCCTAGAAGCCCTAAATTGAAATGAAGTAGCAGGTGGTAGAGGGAGATAGAAACATCATACCCTTAGTCTTCCATCTATGTCTGCCTGAATTCCCCTCTTGGCACTCGGGGCCAAGACTACCATACCTAAACATGTCTACTGCTTGGGACATTCAGGTTGGGGAATCTGAGTCTCCTTCCCCAACCTCCTGAACTGAACTCCAATTTCTAAGATAAAGCATCTGTTTGTACTCAAAAGATAACTCGAGATATTAGATCGCAGGGTTGGGGAGATGGCTCAGTCAGTAGCGTGCTCGCTGGGAAAGCATGAGGAATTCAGAATGCCAGAATCCACAAAAAAAGCCAGACTGAGGAACGGGTCTGCAACCTCAGTGCCAGGGACATGGAGACCCGGTGATCTCTGTGGCTTGCTGGTCAGCTAGTTAGTCCATCCAAATCAGTTGGCTCTAGGATCCGTGAGAAACCTATCTTAAAACAAAAACAGATGGAGTCTGTGAAAGGGCTCTAGGATAAAGCACTTGCCTTAAAAGCTGGCGACCTGAGTTTGAATCTCCAGAACTCATATATAATTTGGTAAAGTAGTGAGTATTTAATCCAGTGCTTCAGTGGTGAGATGGGGGTGAAGGGAGAATCCGCAGACACTCATGGGCCCAGCTAGCCCGGTGTACACATGTTGCGGGAGGTCCTTCCGCCCCTCCAACCAATAGCTGCTGAGATACCAGCCCATTGGGGCGTGGTCTCTCTCTCCCTTTAAAAAAGCGGCTACTTTCTCCGCTCGCTCTCTTCACTTCCTGCTCTGCCAGCGACTAGACTCCCTTCCTGGTTGCGCAGAGGGCTGTTGTCTGGGACGGTGATCTGTAAGTCTTTTCCCCTTTAAATAAATACCACCCTATTAATCATAACTCCAAACTGGTGTGGCATTGTTCGTGACTTACGCCTCCACACATAGAAGCAAACAACAATAAAGATGTGTCTTAAAAAGCTGGCTGGTGAGAATGGACACTAGAGATCGTTCTCTCCCCTTCACACCTGTGCTTACACTCACATACATGACTCTGCATGTGCGTGTGCGCGCGCACACACACACACACACAAATACACACAGAGGGAGGGTTGGGAAGTGGTACCATCGGTAAAGTTCTGTTAATGAGGACCTGTATCCCCCATTCCCTAGTGCCCATGGGAAAGCAGACATGCTAGCCCACCTTGTAAGCCTACAGCCGTGGAAGCAGAGACAGCAGATTCTTGGTTTAGTGAGAGGCTGTCTCAAAGGACAAGGTGGGACTGGCCAAATGGCTCTGGAGTAATGGCACTTGCTGCCAAGACCGACAGCGAGCAGCCGCCTAGGAACCTACACAGCAGGAGAGAATCAACGTCCACCATTTTCGCAAGTGTCCATACACATCCTCACACAGACATACATGCGTCACTTTTTAAAAACTGTGGTGGAGAGTGCGTGAGGAAGGCATGCAATATTGACCTCTGACTCCCACAAGCACATATGAACATGCACACCTGATGTACAACTGGGTGTGTGTACCTGCTTGCCACACATTGGGGAGAGACTGAGATTCCATCTGAAAAATCGCTGTGAAGACTACCTACCTGTAAAAACCAGTATACATAATTCAGAAGACCAGAGAGTTTATAACTGCTCCTCTACGCCAGCAAAACTGTCTCGGCACACTATCATTACGTGGAGGGTGGGAAGCTGCAGGAGGTATGAAAGATAAAAATCCCAGGGCCCCAGATGATAGCTAGTAAAATAAACAGTATGTGGTATAATTCCAAACTGATCCAAAATTTCACAGAAGACCATTAAAATAAGATATGTGCGTGCTATTTTTATGAAAGTCCGGTTTCCAAAAGGTTAAAGAGACCTGCAAGTAAAAAGGCTAATTTCATTTTTATTCAAGATTACCTTGGCTGTTTGGGTAAATTTTCAGAAGCAGCTTGTCAGTTTTCACAATAATAAGCCTGGTGTGGTTTTTCTCAGAACTGAGTTGAAGCAGCAAGCAGGTCCACTTGAGGTAATTGACATCCTTACTCTGTTGTTCTCCAACCCGGGGGTGATGTGTTTTCTCCCATTTGTCTTTCTTATTTTAAAAAAATTTATTTTTATTTTATGTGCATCGGTGTTTTGCTTGTATACGTATGTCTGTATGAGGATGTCAGATCCCTTGGAACTGGAGTTACAGACCATTGAAAGCTGCCATGTGGGTGCTGGGAATTGAACCCTGGTCCTCTAGAAGAGGAGTCTTAGTCTGCTGATCCATCTCTCCAGCACCCCAGTCAGTTATCTCAAAGAATGTTCACTATTAGTGTAAAAGCTCTCTGCATCATTTGGTGTCCTTGTAAGTCTTATTTCTTTCCTAATTATTATTTTTTAAAATATTTATTTATTTACTTATTATGTATACGGTGTTCTGTGTGTATGCCTGCAGGCCAGAAGAGGGCACCAGATCTCATTACAGATGGTTGTGAGCCATCATGTGGTTGCTGGGAATTGAACTCAGGCCCTTTGGAAGAGCAGGCAATGCTCTTAACCGCTGAGCCATTTCTCCAGCCCTTTCCTAATTATTTTTAAAAATTTTAAATTATGTATAGAAGTTTAATTATGTGGAGCATTTGAACCCCTAGAGCTTGCAGGGTTGTGAGCTGCCCTGTGCGTGTGGGAGTCAAACCCAGGTCCTCTGCAAGAGTAATGACTATTCTTTCTTTTTCATATTTTTTGAAAATTTTATTTTTATTTTCTGAATATAGTTCTTCACTTGCATTTGTTTGTCTGAGGGTATCGGGTCTCATGGAACTGGAGTTGCAGACAGTTGTGAGCTGCCATGTGGGTGCTGGGAATTGAACCTGGTCCATTTGGAAGAACAGTCAGTGCTCTTAACCTCAGAGCCATCTCTCCAGACCCCTCTTTTTTCTTAAAAAAATATATTATTTTAGCTGGGCATGGTAGCTCATGCCTTTAATCCTAGCACTCCAGAGACAAAGGCAGGCGAATTTCTGAATTTGAGACCGTTGTGGTCTACAAGTCAAGTTCCAGGATATCCAGGGCTACACAGAGAAACTTTGTCTCGGAAAACCACACACACATACACACACAAATTTTAATTTTATTGGTGCCCCAGGATGTCAGTTTTCCTGGAACTGTAGTTACAGATGGTTGTGGGACACCACATGCATGGGTGCTAGGGGTCAAAGCCAGGTCCTTTGGAAGGACAATCAGTGATCTTATCGACCAAGTCTTCTCTCCAGCCTGCAGCACCTACACTTAACTGCTGAGCCAACTTTCTAATGCCATTTACTTACTTTTGAGATACGGTTGCTCATATTTGAGGGTGACTTGGAACTGATTCTCCTGCCTATTCCTTGTAAGCTAAGTTTACAGGTATGTGCCACCACATCCAGCTTATTGTACGTTTAATTCTTGTAGCCACACTTTTATTTTATGCACGTGAATGTTCTGTCTGCACGTATGTCTACCATGTGCATGCCTGTGCCCTAGGAGGTCAGAAGAGGGCATTCTATATTCTGGAATGGAGTTATGAGCACTTGTGAGCCACCATGTAGGTGCTAGGAACTGAACCCATGTCCTCTGGAAAAGTAGTCAGGGATCTTAACTACTGAGTCATCTCTCCAAACCAATAATATAATATAATATTTTTTTTTTCCAGACAGGGTTTCTCTGTGTAACAGCTCTGGGCTGTCTTGGAACGTGCTTTGTAGACCAGGCTGACCTCGAACTCACAGAGATCCACCTGCCTCTGTCTCCAAAGAGCTGGGATTAAACATATATTTTTAAAGTTTTATTTTGTCTGTATTATGAAAAAACACGATTATTTTATTGACCTTGCCTTCTATGATCTGCTAAATTCGCATGATTGTAAGCATTTGTGGAGTTCCTTTTAGTTTATTTCTATCCACTGTTTTGTCAGCATATATGGTTCTCCTACACGCTCCCCACCCCTTTAAATCACACTGGTTAGGAATAACGGAGGTATGAGACTGGACATCCTGGTTTTCTTCACCTCAGGGAAAATGACTTTATTTCTTTTTAGACAGGGTCTCATGTAATAGAGGAGGACATTGAACTCTTGGAGCTCCTGCCTCTATCTCCCTAATGTTGGGATCATAGGCATGTACTTGGTTTATGGAAAATGATTTCAACTTTTTTTTTTTTTTTTTGAATTTTCGAGACAGGGTTTCTCCGTAGCTTTTTTGGTTCTGGTCCTGGAACTAGCTCTTGTAGACCAGCCTGGCCTCGATCAACATTTCTTTTGAGAGGTTTGCTGTAGGATTTTTGTTGATGCTTTTTATTAAAGATTGCTTTATAACCCAGGATTTCTGTTCTTCCTTTGACTCTTCTTTGTGCAATGCTGGGGATAGCACATGCTCTACCACTAAGCTATATCCCTAGCTCTAACCTCCAACTGTAAATACTAAAGATGACCTTGAACTTCTGAACCTCCTGCCACCATTTTTTGAATGTTGAGATTATAAATGTCTCCACCTGTTTCTTTAAAAAAAAATATTTTTGAGATAGGGTCTCATTAGGTACCCGACGCTGGCTTTGAATTTAGGCATCTGCCTGCCTTTGCCTCATGAGTGCTGAGATTAAAGACATGTGGTAGACATAATTAAAAAAAAATCATGGATAGGTGTTAGATGTTATCTAAGTAATTGCTTTTCTCCTGTTGTGAACCACACCGACTGGCTCTCACAGACTGAATCAACCTGATATTTTTAATGATAATTTTCAACGCTAATCTGATACATTATTACTTATTTATTTACTTAGGTTTTTCCGGGCAGGGTTTCTCAATAGCTATGGAGCCATTTCTAGAATTTGCTATTGACCAGGCTGGCCTTGAACTCAGAGATTTGCCTGCCCTCACCTCTCCTAGTGCTGGGACTAAAGGCATATGTCACCATCACTCAGCCTGGTCCATTATTTTAATGCACTGCTAGATTTGATTATTTATAGGGAAATTTCTGTGGTGCCATAGCTCAAATTAAGGACTCAATTATGTGCTTTATCACTAAGATATACCCCTTGCTTCCTTATTTTTCAGGTAAAAAAACCATATGCATAAAAACATTTGTTTTTATGTATATGGGTGATTTGCTTGCATGCATGACTGCACTAATTGCATGCCTATGCCTGCAGAGTGGGTGTCAGACCTCCTGGTCTACATCCAGACAGTTGAAAGCTGCTATGTGGGTGCTGGGAACCAAATCCAGGTCCTTGAAAGAGCAGTCAGTGAGTGCTCTTAACCATTAAGCCATCTCTCCAGCCTTATTGCTGTTCTTGAGACAAGGTCTGTCTGTAGCCAATACAATGTAGAGCCTATCAAGACAAGGCTGCTTGACCTCCCAACAGTCATTGTCTCAGCTCCCAGCTGGCATTACAGGTATGAGACACCTCCCCCAGTTTCTTATTTTCATTTTAAGACACTGGTCCTCACCACTGAGTACGGTAGCACATGCCTATTATCCCAGACTTTGGGAAGCTGGGGCAGATTAACAAATTGAGGACTAGACTGAGCTCCATGTGATCCTTTGAATTTTACGTCTCTATTCATGGCAGTTGGTCCCTAGCACTTCCTGGAATGTCCTTGACAGACTTTGGTGGATGGGCGCTGCTGCTTCAAAATGAATTGAGATCCATCTATTCCTTTTTAAGATTTATCCCATTGGCAATTCTAAGTTATGAATGGGTCATGTGTAGGCTGACATTGGGGAACTTTTTCTCTCTCCTTTTTAAAATACTGTATGTGTGTGGGTACATATACCACGATCTGTTTGTGAAGCCTACAGGACAAATCTGTGTTTTCTTCTACCTTCTACATGGATTCTGGGGATCAAACTTGGGCCATCTCACCAGCTCCAGCTTACTTTTTGAGGTTCTACCATTGAACCTGGAGTTCAATATTTCGGCTAAACTAGCTGACCAGGAAGTCCCCAGAATCCACCTGTCTCACACCCAGTGCTAGAGTTACACATACACACTGTCAAAAGTTTTTATGTGCACCTAGGTTTGTGTAGTGTTGGCTGGGTACGTATATTAAAACACACACACACACACACACACACCAGGCAAGCCAATTAGTGTTCTTCCACGACTTTTGCTTCAGTTCCTTTCCTTGATGATAGACTATAATGTGTAAGGGGAAGTAAGACCCCTTCTCCCCAGTTGGTTTGGTCATGGTCTTACCATGAAACAAAACTAAAACAGAACAAGCACTTGACCTCCTGAGCCATCTCCCAAGCCCCAGTGCAAACTTTCATCCCATATCGAAAGTCATGTATTAAAAAAAATTCTGATTAGTCTTTAAGGGGTTAAATTCAGTGATGTTTTCAAAGTATATTTTAGTTTGTAGCACCCCGCCCCCATTTTAACTGACTTTTGCTGTTATTCTTATTGAGCTTGCCAGTCTCCATATTAACACAAAGCCAGTGATTTTTATCTGTGATGTGTGAATTGGATGTTACATATCTCATTACATTATTTGTATGTATGCGTGGGCAGGTACAGACCACAGTGCCCCAGGCGAGGTTAAAGGATTACTGCTGGAGTTAGTTCTCTCCTTCCTAGGGATTGAAGTCATTAGGCTTGGTGGCAAGCTCCTCCAGTGGGCTTTTTTTTTTTTAAAAGATTTATTTATTATGTATACAGTATTCTCAGTATTGTGTCTGCAGGCCAGAAGAGGGCACCAGATCTCATTACAGATGGTTGTGAGCCACCATGCGGTTGCTGGGAATTGAACTCAGGACCTTTGGAAGAGCAGGCAGTGCTCTTAACCACTGAGCCATCTCTCCAGCCCCTCCAGTGAGCTTTTTACTTGCCTATTATGTTGTGGGTTTTTTGTTTATTTTCGCTTTTCCCAGACAGGGTCTCACTATGTATCTCTGATGGTCCTGGAACTATGTAGACTAATCAGGCTGGCCTCAAACTCAGAGATCTTCTGCCTCTGCCTTCCAAGTGCTGGGATTAAAGACATGTGCCACCACCACCTGGCAACATTGGGCATCTTTTATTTCTTTCCACTTTATTTTTAAAGATAGGGTTGCGGGGGCTGGAGAGATGGCTCAGAGGTTAAGAGCACTGGCTGCTCTTCCAGAGGTCCTGAGTTCAATTCCCAGCAACCGCATGGTGGCTCACAACCTTCTGTGCTGAAATTTGGTGCCCTCCTCTGGCGTGCGGGCAAACATTGGGGCAGTATGTTGTATACATAAATAAATCTTAAAAAAAAAAATAAAGATAGGGTTGCTATGTATTGTGGCTGGCCTAGAACTCACAATGTGACTATCTGTACTAAACTGGCCTTAAACTCACAGATTCACCTGCCTCTGCCTCCTAAATACACTACCATGCCTGGCTTCCATCTTAATTTTTTTGAGCCAGAGTCTCACTTAACCCGAAGACTGCTGCTTTGTCTAGAATGATTGGACAACAAGCCCCTAGCATCTTCCTGCCTGTTGGGGTTACCCAGCTTTTGTTTGGGTGACAGGGAATCTGAACTTAGGCTCCCATGCTTGCATGACAAGCACTTTAACCAATGAATCATCCATCTTCCCAGCCCTTCCATGGGTTTTTGGTAGCAGCTTTGCCCTCTTTTTCCGGGCTCCAGAGCAGCATCAATAGCAAGTAGGGATATTCTATATAGAAGAAAGGCCTCTGAAGCCTGCAAATGCCTCTCCACCCTGCCTTCTAGAACAGTACAGCTCTCTAAAATCCTTGAAAATAGCTGGAAATGATCTTAACCCAGGCACAAGATCAATTCTAAAGATGTCCTGAACTCCACAGCTGACATTTAAAGCCCCTAATAAATGTAAATACTGCAGAATAAATTTAAGTACTACCCCTTTATTTACAGAAATCTCTCCCACCCAGGCATGGAAGTCAGGAGTGAGATTCTGCTTGGGCAAGAGACACTATCAGGTAAGGGCCACCATCCTAGACAGCTTTCATCACCTAAAAATCTGTCTACAAAGGAACTATCGTTGTCCTCTTAGCAGGGCAGTCTGTGTGTGTAAGCAGACAGGGTAGAGGTAGGTCCAACAATGATCACCAGATTAAAGTGCTTAGATATCTCTATAATGACAGAATAAATTTCCCAATTAAAAGAATTAAAAAAAAAACCAAACCAGAGCATGTTTTATTTCAATCCTGATGAGGGAAAGGGATGGAAAACACATAATAAGGGGAGGGGTCTTGTTATATAATACATACATCATCAGGGCCAACCATAGGGAATGATACCCACTGCACCCCTCCCAGTCCAACTCCTGCGCAGGTTCTGGAGCCAGCTGAGGACAGATGGGATGTGAACTAAGACTCCTGGCACAGTAACATGGCCAATGCACCAAAAGACGGAGACTGTCCCAGGGAGCAAGGCCTCAGCTGCTCCCCTAGTGGAGAGGAATGAGAAACTTTGGCTCAGCAGGAAGGCAGATTTCAAAAATCAGTGTACCCCTGTTAAACCTTTTTTTTTCTTTTCCCTTGTTAAACTTTACAGATCATAAACTGGAATGAGTCCAAACATCTATCAAGTTGATGCTGTTTCCTGTTTTCTCTCTAAGACCTTTCCCCTTCAGGCCTGAGTCTGCGTTCTCCTCTTCAATTGGAAGGCAAGGGAATGAGTGCTTATTCTAACCTTCCTAAATCTAGGCTACTTAATTACTACTTTCTCTGCTCTAGAGACAGAAGCCAACTGACAAGGCCAGCTCCCTTTGTGAAAGCCGGCTTAAAGAGCCCTTGGGTTGGCTCAACTGCCCCTACAAAGGTTTCTATGAGCATCTGTCCACCCCTTTATACTACTCCCTCAAACTCGTCGGTACAGACATCTTCAAGCATGTGAGACATGGGCTGAAGACTTGGTCTCTAGAGTTGGGGCAATAATCCCATCTTTGGAGATAAGGATGAGAGAGAAAGAGCAAGTGCTGAAAATGGGAGAAAGGTCACAGAAATAAAGGCAGTTTACAACATGTTATAGATTCAAGCCCATGGAGATGGAAGGGGAACTCTGACACATTATCAACAAGTAAAAATATTTTAGTGACAACCCTGTAGTTTCCATAGACCAATAAAAAAATATGTGTTAAAAGGGGGAGAGGAGACTGAGCCAGCAGAATCCAGCCATTCATCTTAAATCTGAAGAAACTCATTCAGCTAATACTGTTTCAAGTATAAATCATGAGCAGAGATGGCGCTGTTGAAAGGGATCCGACCTGGACCCAGGGGCTTGCTTGCCTCCCTCGAAAAGACACTGGAAATTGTCTTTGAAGACCTGGATCTCAAGATTGCCATCCTCCTGCCCCAGTACAACACTTTCAGGAAAGTTGGGTAAATTAAGACATCTGCTTTAAGTTTAAGCGGTTAGAAGAAGGGGAAAGCACTGAGATTTGGAAAAGCTAGCAGCTAAAGCCAGAACCAAGGTGAAGATTCTCATGGCAGCAGAGGGGAAGGTGGAGTGCTCCTGCTTGTCCTTTGGCTGTCTTCCTCCCTGCCTCCCATTCCCCCCGACAGCCTGATGCAGCTATCCGTCTGCCAGAGGGGATACAATGCCCAGACCAACTTTTTATTGAGCTTATGCAGCTAACAGACTTGTAAACAGTGCCAATTGACAAAGTTTTGCTGAAAACCACAGCTTGTGTCCATTAAACACACCTCTCTCTAGATTAAAAACAACAAAAACCCAAAGTAAACAAATACTGAAAGAATTAAAAGACACATCTTGAATCTTCCAGGAAGGCCACATGGCTTATGGTCCCAGGCGCTCACCATGCCTAGAGTGTTGCTACTATTACCATGTCTCCTCTCTACTAGTGGCTAGGAGCAGGGTCATCTTGGGCATGCTGCAAATACAGCATTTGCTGGTGTTGACATCCTCCTGGGGCTGTGGTGGCAGACTGCTGTGTCAGGAGCCCAATTCCTGGGAGCAGCAGGGGGATCCAGGACCTCCAGTCAGCCCACACACCTCAGTAGGGTACTTTGCCCCTTTTCTCCAGTGCAGTTCAGCATTGAAGTTGTCTACTCCTAGTCGGCAATAAAACCTGAGCTGTTTTCCTCTTAGGTTCCACCCCACTCCCCAACTTATGGGAGTAGTGGGACGGAATAGAGAGGATCACTGAGGGGGCAGGGGAATTCCCCGGGGATCTGTGACCTGGCCCTCTTGCAGGTTCTTCACCAGTTGTGCAAGCCAGCGTTTCGTAGTGGTGTCATCTTTTAGCACCTGGGCAAAGGTTGTGTCCTTCAGCTGGTCAGGAAGGCACTGTCTGAGTGCTTCGCGTGCCCTACATCAGAAACAAACAAACCAACCAGGGAGACAACAAATAAACCCACATTTTGGGGCTTGGAAGAGCCCCTTTCTTAAATATAAATATACAGCTTCCTAGGTAGGAATCTATGTTCTGTTAATCAAGAATCTACTGGAATCCCTTAAAGCAAGTCTTATGCATATGTTCAGACTGTGCAGTCCACAAATATTTTCAGCATACCCCAGTGCAGAATTTAATGCAAAAGCAAAATGGAATAAAACAGTGCAATAGTTTACTTCACTCCAAATTTTGTTTTGATTTATTATAATAAATACTGTCAAAAATCATTAAGCATAGTTTATGGTAAATGAAATTATTTTAAAAATTGAACACTGACAGCAGACATGATTTCATTTGTATGATAAATCAATCGATTTTAATTCTATACCAACATCAGTTATGTCTTTAAGCAAACGCTTCAATTTTGTATTTGAAAGCCTTAATAAGAGATGAATAGTAAAACTATGGCAACATTACCACCTAAAAGCCTCAAAAAGGCAAATGCCAACTCCATACAGGCTGTTCAGAACAGCTACAGCTCTGATACTCAAACACGAAGAATTTCTAAGAAGTATATTGCAAACTTAGGAGAAAATAGGAATTACCGAAAAATAGGACAACTTATGATTAAAGAATAGCTAGGGCTTGAATAACCTAGTGGCTACAGACTGGGTTCACATTAAGCGACCTGATTCCTAGGAACTCAGAAAGCACTCCATTATGTGGCTTGGCAGAATCTGAGTGTGTAGCTTTCAGCATAAATTATGGATGGATAGGACAAAAGGTCAAACATTTCTGAAGTGCATTACATCTAACAAAGTACATGACGCTGGCAGATATCTTGATCACACCAAGAAAAAGCAATAAGCTCTACATCTTACAGGAAGCAGAGAACTGCAAAAGTAAGTAAAGAGCCTCCAGGCTATGGAACTTTGCAAGAGATCTTTGGAACTATACTTATCCTTCTGATTACTTGGAGTAGTCATAGGAAGCTCAAACAAACCACATGATATGGCCTCACTTGAAACTGTCTGGGCTTTCTGGAATTTGAGGGTAGGACAATGGGAAGATCTAACTAGAGGATATTCAAAATTAGAACCTTAGATTTTAGTAGGAACTTAAGTCCATCTAAGATAAACTAAGACACAGGACCTGAGCCACGAGACGTTTCCCTTAAGTCCTGAGTCCTGCAAATCTTTACCTGGGGTTATCTGAGAGTCGAAGGTAACATCTTACTACATGCTTCAGCAGACGGGCAGAAGGTTCTTTGGATAGCTGCAGGACCATTTTACCCTGTTTTACCCAAAACAAGGGTGGGAGAAAAAAACACAAATAATTTTGACACCAGAAATCAGATCATCTGAGAATCATTAAAGAAGTTTCCAATATTTTTTATTATTTTTTCCTTTTTTAGACAGGGTCTATGTGGCCTTGACTAGCCTAGCACTCACTATATAAATCAGGACTCAAACTCACAGTGATCCGCCTTTCTCTGCTTCTGGAGTTCAGAGATTAAAGGCACTTGCTATTATGCCAGATAGTATTTTTGAGATAGGGTATATTACTTCTTCACTTGGCTGGTGTGGAACTCTTGCTGGCCTCTAGCCTGCAGTGATCCTCTTGCCCCTCTCTGCCTTATAAATACTGGGATGACAGGCACGGGACACCATGGCTACAACAGTAGTCTCTAGTTAGAAGACTAAGTTTTCAGCCAGTTACAAAGGGACTAAGTTATGTGATCGGCAGTTGTAAAGAGAGTAAAGAAAAAAAACTCACCAAGATCATGGCAACATGGGAAAAACGCTCATAAGTCTGACATATATAAGCCAAACCAGTGTCATCTAAGAGAATCTTCTGGAGGATGAATGTGGCAACCTAGAGCATAAAGAACAGATACTATCACACTGAGCAATTACTGTATGTCAGGATTTTTCTAAAGGCTATTTATAGGCCTTATTTTTCCTATTGAACTCATTAAGTATACACACCATGATTTTCATTTTACATAAAAGGGAAAACCCTAATTATTAGAATTGCCTAAAATTTGAGGCCAGCCTGAGGTACTTTGTGAGTACCAAACCAGCTTAGAATGGACTTAAAAACAAAAACAAAAAATAAAAAACAAAACAAAACACAAAAACCAACGACCACACCCGCCAACCCAAATGTCCTAATTTAAACCAGGCAATCATTGTGGGGGAAAAGTTTGAGACAGACTCTGTAGCCATGGCTAGCTAGCCTCCAACTCACAGCAATGCCCTTGTCTCAGCCTAGCAAATGTTGGGACTACAGGCAAGAGTCACAGTGCTGGCCGGCAGAGGATTAGGAATTATCTCTCTTTGGTGTCAGTCACCAGAACCATCGCTGCTGTTTTACTGAGGTATGTCACTGCGATGGGCCAAACAGGATACCTCCACAAAAACAGCCAGTGCTCACAATCACTGAACCATCTCTCCAACTCCATGCCTGTACTTTAAAAATACTTCCCAGATTATTATATCATTTACAATAGCCTTGACCAAGAACCTTTATTTCAAAGTGTGCCTACTATGGGCAAGGTGCTATGTGTTATACAAAGAAAGCTAAATACAAAGCCTAGTATGGTGGTACACGTCAATCACCTAGTCAGTCCTCAGGAACCTGAGGTAGAAGGATTGTTCCAAATTTGAGGTCTGCCTGTGCTATACAGTGTCAGGCCAGTAAGGGCTACATAGCAAGACCCTGCCTCAGAGAGCAAAGGTAGAAAGACAAGAGAAGCTATTAAGTTAAAAAAAAAAAAAAAAAAGGTTATCTGTGAGAACTACTCTTGTTGAAGCATAAAAAAAAGCCAATGAAAACCTAGAGACAGGAATGAGTTTTAGTTTTGGACACTTGGAAGTAGGGGGTTACTGAAATAGGGACTAATCAAGTTGACTATAAAAATAAGTATTTATAAAAAAAGTATTTATAAAAAGCGGTTAAATTCTGTAATCCTACTATTGTGAAAAATCACTATAATCTGAGGCATAAATTCCTCCAAACATGCTCCTCAATATAAAAATGTAGTAGTAATAGTTAGACTGGCAGGCACTTCACCTAAATATTTTTACATCAATCAAAAGATGTGTGTGTGTGTATACATATACATACAAGCACTCACCCCAAAACTGGTGAGCTGTAAAGAAATGTAACAGGAGGTAAAATACTTGACTTTTAAAACAGTAAAATGGGCTGGAGAGTGTACTCAGTGGTTAAGAGCATTTACTGCTCTAGTAGAGGACCTTAATTCAATTGTCAGGACTCCAGCTGGGCAGCTTGTAGCCTTTTATCTTGTTCAAGGGATCCAATACCCTCAGTTCTGAACTCCAA